GGCTGGCCATGTATAGCCACTGGGCATAGAAGCTGCCGGGGGCTCCCGGGCCAGGGCCTGGTTCTCTGTGACGGGTGCAGGGAAGGCGACGCGGACCCTCAGTTTTGGGGGTCAGACATGTTTACAGAGAAAACGCTGTAGTCCTGGCCTGTAGGCAAGCTGCCGGACTCTCGGGTGTCCGCTGAAGCCCCCGGGTTTCCTGGCGCAGACTCAGCCGAGCCGTGGCCCTCAGCTGCATCCACTTCAAGGCAGAAACACGTTTTGGCCAGAATTAGCTGCGTGTCTTGGGCCACAGGCTGCGACTCAGAGTGGTAAGAAGGCAGTCCGAACCAATCGTGTGTAATCCTGGAGGGTCTGTGTGTGCCGACACGGACCTGTGCTGTGTCCCAGCCGTCACCGAGCCATTGGGGGCCGTCAGGAAACCACCAGTGAACAAACCCGACAGGCAGAGGAGAGGGAAGGATGTTCAGAGCAATTCCACAGAGGCCTCCGGATGGAGAGGGGAGAATGAATGCGAGAATATGAGCATCATGGACGGGTCTGGGCACGGTTCCCCCTTGGCTGCTCCCTGAGAGGCGAGCGAAGAGGAAGACCCTTTGGATGGGTGGGAAACTGCCTTCTCAGCCCCCAGGGGGCTGGGCCATTTACTGCCCCCAGCTGGCTGGCGACAGGAAGCTGCTGACCTGCAGACCTGCGTTACCGCGGCCGAAAGGCTCTGAGGATGGCGGTCTGACATCAGCGTCTGCAGCCCGCGCCCCTTCCGTTCCTCAGGGGTACCTGGGACTTTCCAGGGGGGGCTCACAGGGGCAGGCAAGGCACAGGCCAAGGCTGAGCACCCACATGCTGCCTAGTGATGGTGGTCCCACAGGTTATAACAGAGCTGGAGGACATTGTTCCCCAGGGATGGTGTGGCTACCGTAACCTCGTAGCACAGGGTGCTGCTCCCACGTGGGTGGAGACGCTGGTGCCCACGACCCCGCTGCACCGTCCGGTGTATGAAAGTGCAGCACACACAACTGTGTAAGATACGTGGCCCCTGATGATAATGATAGATGGCTGTGTTAGTGGTTGACGTGTTCACTATACAGTTCCTATCGTCACTTTGGGGTGTGCTCTTTCTGCTCATAGCATAAAGCCGGTTATAAAACAGCAAATAGCTGTGCCACGCTGGCAGTGGCTTCAGTCTTGTGTCCCATAGACTCCGTGCAGCCCAAAGGCACGGTGTTCACTCAGTGTGCGGTCCTGTCCCGGTGAGGCCGTGTCAGTGTAAGGAGTGTGTCTCCAGACACTGAGCTCCGGAGTTTTTGTGCTAAAACGTGCCCTGGCGCCGAGCTCTCTGAAAACCCTCATTTTAAGTGTTACAGGCTTGGGGGGAAGATGACGTGGTGACTGAGTGGGCGCAGGTGTCCCCCTGGGTGATGGAGGACAGCTGGGACTGGATGGGGGCGGGTGCATCGTGCAGTGAATGCACCCGAGGGTGCGCTTTAGAATGAATGTGTCCTTTGTGCGTACTTCTGCCCGACACACACTAAAGCTCTGGAGAGCAGGAGAGGCTGCGCGGGGCCCCTCCCAGCTCCTGCCAAGGGACTCGAGGACGTTTTGGGGTGCAGCTGCCATGCAGGGAGGCCCTGAGCCTCTTTAGGCTGTGGGTGCAGAGACCCCACAGAAGCCCATCTGACTGGCCTGGCTTCCACTCAACATGCACTGACCCACAGTGCCCCAGAGGCAGACAGTCTGTATTCTGACAAGTAACAGAATAGCCAGTCCAGGCCGCAGGCAGAGCTTCCCAAAGGGGCAGGGATGCTGTGGTTACTCACAGGTCAGGGAGGAAGGGGACAGAAGCTCAGGGGGCTCGATTCCCAGTCAGTTTTCATCAACAGCCCCCCCCCCCCCCGGGGATCCTGCCCTGACCAACAACTGAGCCCTTTCTCTACTAACCCGGTGGCTTGCTCTGGTCACGACCACACAGAAGGGTGTCCTGGAGCAGGAGGGGGGGGCATCCCAAAGATTGGGAAATTCTGAAAGGGCACGTGCTCTGTCCCTTTCTCCCCTGGTGGAGCGGAGGGGTGGGCCCAGCCCAGTGCCAGCCAGGGGACGCCTATGCCCCGCTGTCCTCCCCTGCCTTCTCAGCTGCAGATGTGCCCCCCTCTGCCCTCGGTGTCCCACCTGCAGTTGGCCCAGCGTGGACAGGACCTCCGTCAACAACTCATGCAGTGCCCACTCACATGCAGTGAGTTCTGGGGGTGACACTCCTGCTCTGTCACCAGATTGATTCAGCGGGGACTGTGACTTCACGTCTGTCACCCCTGCCAACTCCTGTTCTATTTTGGGCACGATGGAGTCTGGCTCCTACTGGAAGTTTCCACTGTGCTCAGGACCTCCGCCCACGGGGACTTGGTACAGGGCTCTGCTTTGGTTAGCATCCCTCTGCAGGGGCCGGAAGGGACAGCCGGGACGGTGATGGGGACGGGGCCAGCAGCCCTTGACCCGGGCTTCCCTAGAAGCACAGCAGGAAGAGTGAGCCTTCGGGCGACCATGAGCCCAAGCTGGCTGGCGAAAGGGTAACAGTGGAGTTGATGGCTGGAGCTGGAGAGCGAGGCTGGCCCCACCTGTGCAAAGCTTTGGAGGAGGAGCTCAGAAGTGCATTTGGTCTCCTGTAGAAAACATTCTGGAACACACCAGAAAAGGAAGCTCACGTGGCAGCCATTACCCTCAACTGGTTGCACAATATGGAGGGCCCAGCAGGAGAGAGAGACCTTGTGGACCGGCCCCCTCCTCCTGGCGCGGGCTCTGGACGCTGATAGGACAGCCAGGCTCTCAGTCTGGCCCGCGGTTCCCATCACGTCTGTGGCAGGAGGACGTGCTCGGGGCCAGTTGCCGTCACAGGGGGCCCTGTACTCAGGAAGGCCCTCACTTGGGCCTGCGTGCTCTGCCGTGGCTGTGCTGAAATTCTGACCCTGTCCTTCCTTCGTTGTGCTTTGTCAGTGACAGGTGGGACCGAGAAGGGGATGTGGGGGGGAGGGGACCGGAGCCAAGCCCCAGCTGCTCTCTCCTACCAGGAAGTCAGGGAAACATTTTACATTTCAGTACCTCGAACAGCACTGTTCCCAGCCTTTTGAAAGAGGGGACCACGTCTGCCTGTGACACAGGTTCCTGGTCAGAGACCCGGAAGCCTGTGGCTCAACCAGCCTGCACAGGGGCTGCCCGGTCCCTGGGCTTAGCAAGCTCACCGATGCCCTGAAGAAAGGCTGTTGAGGCTCTTTGGGGACAGTGCACAGGACACAAGGTGAGAGCAAGTCACAGCAGCTCCCGCACACCCACGGCCAGCCTCCAGGCCAGCCTCGCCGCAGCAACATGGCCACACGCACACGCGCTCTGCAGGCTGGGCTGGGCACAGTGACCCCTCACAGCCAGAGACGCAGAGCTGGAGGGGACGGGTACCAACTTCTGCAGTGGTCGGGCAGAGCTGGGTTTTACGTCTGTGGGATCTAATGATACAAAATTAGGACGTGTGGTTTTTTTTTCAGTTCATTTTTTCTAGTAATTGAGTTTCATTGGATTCTACAGCTGCAGACTGGAGGGGCGGTTCTGGGTGTTGACTTGGAGGTGCCTCTCGTTTCAGAGCTTCACCGGAGGCCGTGGTCCGGCCGGCGGTCCTCGCCGCCCCTTCTCCAGCCCGAGTCCCCCTCACCCTGGCACTGTGTGGGGGTCTTCCGAGGAGACTCTCAGAGCCTCACGAACTCGGGAGAGGCAGGCACATTCCCACGTGCACGCAAGCCCCCTGCATCCTACGGAGCTCTCTGCCGAGGGACGGACGCCTCCCAGCTACTGCCCTGGATAAAGGGAAGCATGTTTGTATTCAAATCATATACTTTTCCCCTTAAAGTCATGAGGAAATCTCCCGGCTGTGGACCGAGAGTGTGTTTCGGCTAACCTGCTTTAAAAACAGCTGTTGGTCCTCATTTTCGAAAAGGGTCGACTCTCCACTTCTCAAGGCCTCCCTTCCTCCCAGGTTGTGGGACTGTCTTCATTACAGCAGCTCAGGAGACGATGACGACCGTGACCTACCTCAGGCTGCCGGTCCCTGAACCAGATAGCGGCCTTTCTCCTGGGAAGGGGCAAAAATGAAGTGTGGCTACTGAACACCGGACACAAGCATTTGACGGGGTCACCGAGAACCGAAAAGAATTCTCCACGCGTTACTGAATGGCCGGTTTTGATGTCTCATCCTCCCTTTGTTTATTAGATTTGATTCGGAAGTGAACACAGGGAACAGGGGCTGTGTGGTGAGTGGGGGCTGCAGCCAGCAGGGGCGCAGACCCCTGAGGGCCAGGCGGGGAGGGGAGCTGACAGCCAGGGACAGGGACCCGGGAGAGGGAAGCCACTGGACTGTGGGTGCTGTGGAAGACAACACTCAGGATGGGGAAGGACACCCGTGAGCTGAGTAACCCGTGCCAGCAACGGTATCCAACCCACTTAGTGTTTGTGGAGCTTCTGTTTTTAGTAGCAGGGAACTTCTGACTGTGTCAGGGCCGCATATCATCAGAAAGAGCCAGGCTGCTGGTGAGGACGACGGCCGGTCAGAGGACTCCCATCCTGTCCGGCCCTTCTCTGGCCCTCAGGGGGTGAAGCTGTGACCTCGGCTGCGCTCCGACCCCCGCCCTTCCCTGTGACCGGGGAGCGCTGCCACACGGCCTCCGCCTGAGAAACACGGGCGCCCTGTGGACTAGAAGGTGCAGCACCCGAGACAGCTCGGAAGCCTGCACTCGTCTGTGTGACGTCCAGTGACGCCGCTGCTCCCGGTGTGACACTTCCCTGTTGAGGACGATCTCAGGATGTGCCTGACACTGCATGCTTCACAAAACATCCTGTGTCTGGGGCATGCGTGGCCTCCGGCCTCCGCATGGACAGGGGCTGCTCCAGGGCTGAGTCCCAGCACCTCTCGCCCAAGTGACCTTGGGTGGCTGGGCCCTGCTCCGGTGGAAACTGGGAAAACCAAGACCAGTTCTATTTGAAAGTCTCCTTTTACTAAAATAATGGAAACGGGAGGAGGAACAATCAACATTCCGAGTTTTTTTTTAAAAACCCAAAACATTTTATTTCCAAGGGCAGATGAGGATTTTCCCAGGTGACAACAAGAAAACAGTGGCCACAGAACCACGGGCCGGTCGGTCTTAATAAATAACACCACGTGTGTAGCTGGGCTTCCGCAGCGCAGCACACGGCTCAATAAATAAATCACTCGGGGCCGCACAGCGCAAAGTTCCAGGTCTGGCGCGTCGTGGAGTGGAACGAATTCCGCACTGGGCACCTGCCCACTACGGGTGCCCCCGGGGGAGCGGCAGCGTCCTGGCCCTCGGTGCTGGGAGGGCAGGAATCTCCCGGGGGCTCCGGGGCTGGTGTCCTGGTGCCTCTGACCCGCACAGGCTTGGACAGCTTCGTTGCTGCTCACGCGTCGCCGTGGTTTTCAGGTGGGCGCAGAGCAGGAGGAAGTGCCGGCGTCTCAGGTGAGGGGCGGGTCTAGGTTCTGTGCGGGGTTCTGATCCAGTTGTCAGGTTCTTGTCCTTCGGGAGGTGGCTCCCTGCTGGCTGCTGTGCCCTGACCGTCTTCCACACGGCATGTCCTAGTGTCATCGGAGTTCCTGCCAGCATGGCACTCGCCCCGTTCTGAGACTACGCCAGATACCTGAGGGGTGGAGGGCACCTGGGAGCCTCACAGCAGCCCCTGCCCGGTGCCCGCTGCCCGGGCTGGGCTCAGCCACGGCGGCAGTGCGTCCTCAGCACTGTCCCAAGCACCAGGGCTCGTCTAAAAAGTACCAGGAATTCTCAAGGTGGCTTCTGTGTCTCTTCCAGGTGCATGTGCAAAAGGCAAGAGTAAGTCATTCTTTTCAACACGAACCCAGGATTCTTTATTTGAACTTTCCCTTGAAAGAGCGTGTGGAGGGCAGGCCCAGCCCCCTCCACAGGACCCCAGTGGTCAGTGTTCCTTAAACCTGAGAGAAAACGGTGGAACAGCAGCTGGTGACACAGACGGCAGTGGTCTGAGGGCAGACGCTCCACCCCTGCCTTGCGCACGGCCCGCCAGCCCAGAGCCGGCTTTTCTCCCCTGGCAGTTTCCTGCCTGCTCCCCAGCCCCGCCCTGGCCTCGGGGGACACAGGAGCTAGGGGAGACTGGGCTGAGCGTGCTGCTGCCACCTGTGTCAGAAAGCCAAGCTCAGGGGGAACAAAGGAGGCAATTTCCCTCCCCATCTCTCTCAGATCTGGAGGAGAGATTGCCTGGATCATACCCACAGAGGTATTTATTAGGGAGGATGAAAGGGAAGCCGCGGAGCCGTCCTCCTTCCTGGAGGGACAGCCAGGTGTGGGAGGCAGATAAGCCTGAGTGGCATTCTGAAGCTGGGCTGCTTTAATTACTGGAAGAAGGGGCCCGAGGGGGACTTACGGAACTTGGTCTGCTGTCGCTGACCCTGGGCAGCTCAGCTCCTTGTGTATGAGGCGGATGAGGAACTGCACCCAAACAGAGACAAGGCCACCGCGTCAGGGCAGCACCCTGGGTCACCGAGCAGGCTCAGCCCTGTCCCCACTGCAGCCGCGTGCCCACAGCGGTCGGAGCCTGTCCCCATTGCAGGGCTGCCAATGACAAAGCCCTGTGGGTCACTGTGGGGGCTGTGCCCTGACAATAAGGCTGTCAGAGCAGATTTTAGCCTGCATGCCCTTCGGGTGCGAGGAATGTTCAAAATGAAATGAGTCCAATCATAAGACGTCCAAACTGGAAAAAGAGACTAAAGACAAGGTGACCCCCAGCCACGGTGGCACAAGGGGAGGACTAGGTCGCTGCGCAGGTGACTCTGAAAGCCAGGTGAGTGGGCGCAGGCCCTGGGAGGCTGAGGAGGCTGTCCTTGGAACTGCCTCCCCCCTGGGGCCCTGGGCTAGCCGCTGCTGCTGGGGGCAAACTGACGCTGGCGCCTCCGCTTGGTCGGCTCCTTTCCCTTCACAGTCCTTTTCTTGCTGCAGGGGCTCAGAGCCAGCTTGCAGGTCCGGATGCACGACTGAGCCCACCCCACATGTAACTCCTGTGGGAGCCTTTCCCTGGTCTTTCCCCTGTGACCCCAGCCACCTGAGAAGATCCCACCGCCCCCAAGGTGGGCAGTGCTCTTGGCTTTGAAACGACCCCTGCAGGACATCCTGGTTCTGGTGGCCCCACTTCTTAGATGCAGTGTGTACCCTCCCACCAGGAGGAACCTCTGCTCGGAGGCTAAGGCAGCAGGGGCTGGAGGAGGGGTGACTTGAACCCATGCAGCTGTGTAGGACCCAGCCTCAGCCAGGACGTTTATTTCCTTAGATGCTTCAGGTTCAAGGTGGAGCTCAGGGTCCCGTCTATGCGACGTGAGCTCAGACTGGAGGGAAGAAGCTGTTCCCCAGGCAAGACGCGGCCGGCTGCCATGCTTGACCCAGGGCAGCGCTCAACAGGTGGGAGCGGGCCGGGTGCCGAGAGCAGGGCCAGCAGCGATATCACTTTGTCAGAGAAGTTGATCAGCATGAATTTGAACCCTGATCTCCAGCTACCAGCATGGCCTGCTGAGTGGAAGCTGGTATCTTATCAATATCAAATCTAACAAGTCCCGAATGTGGAAAGTGTTAGAAGGAAGATGCTCGTAATTATAAAAAGCAGATCATTACGAGAAAGGAAAAACAGGAAGACACTGCTTGTTCCAGGCAGGGACGGGATAAGCTAGAAACAGCAGCGATGATTCTGAAGGACAAAGCTCAGTTCCTGAAACATGACGAAAGTTCTGGTCTGGGCAGTATTCCTGACAGGGCAGGACCCGCCAGCTCTGGGTCAGTGTGAACTGGTGAGGGACAGCCCATGCATGTGAGAGCCTGGCCACCCGGTTCAACCACGTGCCATGAACAGTCCCCCAGGCCGCCAGGTGGCAGGGCCGGGATCCAAAACTGGGGCTCCTGTGCGTTGCCCCTCTGCCCTCCTGCCCGCAACGGCCTGTAGCAGATGACTTGCTTCTGCTCTGCTCTTGGCTTTAACCAGAAAGAAAAAGGGTCTCGGACAGGGACATGTAGGGAAGTTGGGTCTGTCCCGCAGAGCCGCTGGGGCCCAGGGAAAAAGGGGTCACCAGAGTCTGGCCGACAGCACGGAGATGCCCGTGAAAGGCTGCCGGAAGGAGCCAGGCGACTTACCAGTAAGGCACAGGCATCCGCCAGCATCAGCATGTAGAAGACGTTGTTCCACCCAGATGGGGAGATGAGCCCAGCCAGCAACGGGCCCAGGGCGGCTCCTGAAACGAGGCAAGTGGGCACACTGCTGCGTGAGGAGCCGTCCGCGACGTGACCGCCGGAAGCACCCAAGCCCGGCGGAGACACAGAATGGCGCTCGCACCCTCATTGACAATTAAGCGGAAGCCATGAAAATAATCCTGCCTCATTCTTACCTGTCAGACAGGTGGGGGGTAAAAAGCTTAATTATGTTCGGTACTGCTGAGGGCGCGATTGGCATAGCTCTTTCTTAGCAGCGAGGCTAAAATACGTATTGACATTAAAATGTTCATTCGTTTGATCTAATCATCCCGCTCAAAATGCTGTCATTAAAAAACCCTGGAATCTAACGCTATGACAATATTTGGAGAAGCTGAGTGAGGTTTGGGGGCACTAATCCTGTATCGGCCGCAGTGTCCTGAGTCCCATCGCCGTGCGGTGGCCGAGTCAGGGAGCCCCTCGTTCTTGGGGAGCACACACCGACCAATCAGCTCCTGGGAGAGGGGCAGCAGGCCTGCGATGTGCTCTCCCGTGGTTCAGAAAAAATATGCAAGTGTAGCCATAAATGCGCACGTGTGTGCATATGTGTGCTATAAACACGTGTGTCAGAAAGTGGGGGGGATAAGGCAAACATAGCGTGAATTCTTTGTACTTGTTTGCAACTTTTCTTAAGTTTGAAATTATGATAAAATTATAAAAAAAGCAAATATTCCTCAAAACGCCAAAAGATACATGAGCATGTCGGTTGCTGTGGTCTTGTGATTTACTTTCCTGCAGGAGACTGGATTGAGTTGAGTCGTGTGTGTGGGTGGTGCACTGTCTGGCGTGGGGAGCAGTGTGAAGTGTCCACGCCAGGCCATGAACTGAGGTTTGATCTCAGAGACGGGGCGACGAGGCGCTCTCCCCTAATTACTCATGCACCCATGCTCTGCTGAGTGCTTGCAAGGGGCACTCTCCATCTGGGTAATCTGAGAAGCAACTGCATGTTTGCTTTTAAGTCTGACGAGAGCTTCCTGGTAAACACAGTAGACGGTTCTGTATCGCCCAAATACCACAAAATGGACCGAGACTGAATTTAAAGAGTTATAGCCCTGGCTGGTGTGGCTCAGTGGACTGAGCACCAGCCTGCGAACCAAAGGGTCACCAGTTTGATTCCCAGTCAGGGCACATGCCTGGGTTGTCCCCAGTAGGGGGTGCATAAGGTAACCACACACTGATGTTTCTGTCCCTCTCTTTTTCCCTCCCTGTCCTCTGTCTAAAAATAAAATAAAATAAATAAAATCTTAAAAAAATTATAAACCCACAAAGAGAGGGGCAGACAGGAGAAGGCACCCGTCCCTGGAGGACGGGCTTTGCAGGGCGTGACAACAGACACGGGCGCTGCCTTCCTTGCCCGGAGGAGGCCGGCCAGGGCCTGCTGCTCAGGCAAGCCCATCCCAGCGCAGGAGGCAGGGAGGGTGGCAGGGGAGGAAAATGGGAGTTGGCTGTGGTCTTGTACGAAGCACCGTTCGATACGCCCCTCTACTCCCCTCTGATCCAGGTTTTCCCTCCAATGTCACTACCTCGGTGACACCCCTGCCCCGAGCCCTGCAGGAGAGCAGCAGCTTAGCCTTCGGAGGATCTGCACCAGATGCTCCGGACACCAAAGCCAGGGTAGAGCGAGGATGCAGCAGCCGCCACCTGCCCTCCCACACGTGACGAATGCTGGCAGCGAGGCCTGCACCCGCTGTGGGCACTGGGGGCGTCTCCTCCAGACTCCAGGCGACCCCGCCCCTGTGGAGAGCAGCAGCTGGCACGCCCTCCCACGCAGAGGGGCGTCTGACAGGCGCCATCCTTCAGCATGAACGTGCGAAGGGCCAGCCGAGACGGCCTGTATCCGAGGAAGCTCAACCAAAGCAAACAAACCGGGAGGGCGGGAACCCACAGGAAACAGACAAACTGGGGAGAAGACAACGCCAGGAAGCTACGACACCCTGGAGACTACGGGGCAATCGGGTCGAACCACAGGGGCCCTGCTCTCGTGCCTGAACGCCACGCCAGTGTGGGCAGTGTCGCTCGACCCGGCCAGCGCACGGCAGCCACAAGTGGAAGAGCACACACTGAGTGGGCGGACAAACCCACGAGTGTCAGAGTTGTGAGAGCCAAAGTACAAAGCTCAGTACAGCGGCTGGAAGGTCAAGAACATCTGAGAAAGTAGAAGGAAAAAAAAAAGGTACAGGTAGAAAGGAAAAAAAAAAAAAGAAAGAAAAGAAAATTGAAGGATTAATCCAGAAAGTTAAACATCTGAATGTTTTCCAGAAAGAAAATACATAGGAAAGAGTAGAAACAACTTATCAAGTAAAATGGAGCCCATTTGCCCGGAGAGGAGGGCAGGTGTGAGCAGACAGAGTGGGCCCCAGGTGCCCAGGGCACAGGGGGTGAAGCAAGGCTCCGGAAATAAAGAAAGACGTGAACCCGATGAGGGTCAGAAGGGAAGCCTGGGCTAAGGACCATGGTGGACTTCTCTGTGTGACAAGGGAAACCAGAACAAACGGACTTTCAGTCTTGAATTCTGTGTTGACAAACCGTCCCCCAAATGACAGCAGAATTCAGACTCCATAGCCTTTCCAGTTCTCAAAATTGAAAACACTACTACTCTGAAGCGACTAGAAGTCATCTTCCACAATGAGAAGCCGCAAATACGGGATCTGGAAAGCCAGGGCCCAACGCGGGGGAGAGAGAAAGGGAATCTGGGAGGTGTTGAAAGCTGCTCAGACACTTGGGGACTGGAGCAGGGAAGTGGGATGCGTGGCCGTGGAGGGTGCATGGAGTGGAAGGGGGCACGGAGGAGGGTCTGAGGGTGACAGTGCACACGGGCACAACTGCAACAGAAGCTTAAACAAGAGGAAAAACGAGGCATTTGGTAGTTTGGAGAAGAACAAAAATGTACATATTAGGAAGCATAAATTAAAGATTTTCTGGACTCAGAAATGAAGGATATTAACACAACTGGGTAACTGATGAGGATGAGGAAAGAGCACGTGGGTGCGGACAAGGACCCCTCCCCGCCACCCCCCTCCACCAGGACACCGACCGTCCCAGTCACACATGGATGCGTGGGGAAAACTGGTGCATGCATGCACAAGATCAGGAAGGACAGCTGGAAGTGGCTGCTTCTAGAAAGGGGGGCTGAGGGGACATGGACAAGGGACTTTCATTTGCAGAACAATAAGCTTGTAAGCCTATCTGGCTTCTCAAGTTACAGTATGTTTTACCTGGATAACATAAAAATGAACTTGGACGAATTCAGGGCTCCACTTAATTGTTCTGCCTGAAACACAGAGGCGACGTGCCTCGCTTTCCCGGGGACGCAAGTCCAGTGCTGACCCACAGAGCCAATGAACTGGGGTCACTAGGGCAGCGTGAGTCTGTGGATCGGGACGAGGCACTGACTGTCACAATCAGTGATGCTTTGCCTCCGTTGAAACCAGCAGTCACATCATTTAATAAAGGCACCAGTGAACTGTCTTGTGGGAGATCGTGCTGAACAGTGTGCGCTTCCCCTTGAGCCTTTTTCCACTTCTGCCTAGTTGGGCAGCACTTCTGGAGAGAAATAATGATGGAGACGCAGTGGTGGGCAAGCATGTGCCATTTCCATGGCAACCATGCCCTTGGGCAGAGTGCACTGAACTGGCAAAGACAGGACTCTGGGTCCCTGCCGGACCTCCCAGTGTGGGCATGACAGTCCACCACATAAGGTCATACTGGAGGTCAGAAGGGGCCGGCCACGGTCCAGGCACCCCGGGCCGTCCTCTGTGGGGGAAGGGTGTTCAGAGCCGTGGCGCCTTTGCAGATGTAGTGACCCCTCCCCCAACCGCCTTAGCCAGGTGCTGCTGCATCCATCTGGTTTGGGGAATATGAAGGAAGATGTGTTTCTCACCTAAGTCATACCTCCCCTCTTTCTGAAGCCCCCCTTTCACTTTCCAACAGCAACCTGGGCTGCTGGCTGAGCTCTGAGCAGCACTAACAACGGGGTTCACAGAAGTGGGGGGCGGGCTGGGCTGGCTCACAAAGGCCTCTGCGCACAGACAGGAGGCAGAGAGCAGGCTGCGCCCAGTCCCAGTCCACTGGAGTAGAGCTCAGCCCAGGGGCCCTGACTTCCGACTCAGTGAGTGGCTTCCAGGTGTGGGAAGGTCCCCGTGGGCCACGACGGCCGGCGGGGACAGCGGGGCTGCTCCACGCAGGGTAGTCTGCTGCCCTGCAGGTGTCGTGGGGCAGAGCACCCACCTCCCTTTTTCTAGACATGTCTGCATGCCCCAAGAGGGTCCCCCACAAAGGGAATGGTCTCACTTTAAAATAAACATCAGAGCCTGGCTGGTGCGTGTCAGTGGATTGAGCACCAGCCTGCAAACCAAGGGGTCGCTGGTTCTATTCCTGGTCAGGGCACATGGGTGTGTGAGAGGCAGCCAATTCATGTTTGTCTCAGGTATCAACGCTTCTCTCTACCAATGCTTCTCTCTCTATTTTTCCTTCTCCTCTCTCTAAAAATAAATTTAAAAAGTAATAAAATAGAATAAACATAAGAGAGGTGACCGCGAACACCATCCAGCAAACTCAAAGTCACCTTTGGGTCCAGCAAAATGAAGGAACTAAAGACAAAAACAGAAATGGGGCTGCTGTGACTTGGGGAACAACAGAAACTCGAGCCTGAACTTCTGAACAGTGGGCGGTCAAGGGCCTGCTCAAGTCACTCCAGGACCTCCAGCAGGGAGTGGTCCCGGTATACAAGAAACTTTGAGAAAGGTCATGGACATTGAGAAAGGTCAAGGACACTGCCAGCTCCCACCTGCCCCTCTGAGAGTGAGTTTTGTATTCTAGCGCCTTTCTGCCCTTCAGACTGTAACACTGAATTGTCTCTGAGAACCTCAACACGGCTGCTACCACCCAGAATCTGGCTGCGTTGGGACCCGTCAGGTTCCCTGTCATTTACACGTTTTTAAATCCTCACCTGAGGACATGCTTATTGATTTCAGAGAGGGGGGAAGAGAGGGAGAAAACACAGGTAGAGAAACATCAGTATGAGGGAAACATCGATTGGTCACTGCCCCCCATGACAGGGGAACCGAACCTGCAACCCAGGCAGGTGTCCTGATGGGGAATCGAACCCACGACCTTTGGGTTTATGGAACAAAGCCTAACCAAGAGAGCCACACCAGCCAGGGCCTGTCATTTGTATTTAAATAAGATTCTGTCCTGGAGATGATAGTGATAAAGAGTCACTGGATACCAGGGCCATGGGCCTGGCTGTAGTGTCTGACTGACGGCTTTGACGAGAACTAACTCCTACCGCCCCACGGCCATGTCGTCTCTGGAACCATCGGACCAACAAGGACAGTGCCACACACCCGCATCCCCTGGGTTTGCACGCGCTTTTGACCTGCTCATATTTTAGGAAGGCAGTGGACCCTAATCTCATCAAAGCAATCGGAATCGTGGCATCTGTTAATTAGGACCTGACCACGTGGCTCCCCGGGGACCACAATTAACTTTGAGAGCTAAAAGTATCCACGTACCTACAGACCCAGTTCCGTCAATGATGGCGGTCACGGTCGCGAGGGCGTGGGAGTTTCCCTTCAGGCTTTTGTGCGTCCCCTGGAGAAGGAAGGTCGAGTGTGAGGCCTGCCCCAGCGGCATCGGAGGGGAAGTGGAAGGCATGCCCTCCACAGGGCAGTTTACACAAGCGCCTCTGCAGAGCAATTCGGGACGCGGGGTGTCTTCCATGGGAAACAAAGTCTGCTCCCCAAACTCACCTGGGAATGGTAGGCAAAGTTTCCGGGGTTTTCTAGAGTCAGAAATCATCAGAAATACTTGTTCAAACATATTCTAGCTTAAAGGACTCTTCAAAATCCCTCCAAATAAACAAATACTCAGCACAACAATCATCTTCACTGAGGCACCAGCCACCAAGGAAGACAGGGGGACGAAGGGCCTGCACGCCCATCCCTAAGCCAGGACAGCATTACTGTCCACCGCCACGCTTCTGCTGGGGGCTTTCTGTGACACGTTAGATGGCTCGGCAGTACCTAAAAACCTATTAGCGACAAATGCTGGGGGGTTGGGGAAGAGGGCAGGACCCACGTAGGGGACACAAGTCCCATATGACACGCCAGCATGAGCTCTGCTTTGCAAAAATCCAGACATATAAATAAGGTGGGGGGAGGGGGAGAAGCACGAACTGGGGACAATGAAGGAAAGAAGTCGGGAAACACAATGCCCGGAAACCTAAACTGCAAGACTAAATCAAAGCTCATAAAAACAGATGAAAGTGTATACGTACAGGGTAATCACCCACAACCTGCATTTTCTGGAGTCTGGGAAGGAAGCGAAAGTCCCTTCTCTGCCCTCTGATCTCACGGGGCAGACCACTGCTCTGGGTCTGGTGCAGACCCTTCTGGAACTTTCTGTGCTCGTGTAGACAGGAACAAGGATGCACTCCACAGAGGGCGTCTGAGGAGCACTCCCTCGACACAGCAGCGAGCTGCAGGTCGGAGACCCGGACGAGAAGAGCCCAGCTCCCAGCACCTGTGGACTCCGCCTTGCCCTGCTGACTGTGGTGGGCGCAGGGCCCCTGGTGCCCCACAGGACCCAGGACAGCCGTCAGAGTGGCTGGTTGCCCGCAGGGGGCTGAGCGCAGGCAGAAGCATGGCTGGGGCCCTAAGGCCTGCGTGACGACTGCAGGGGGACCGTTCTGCTGTGGTTTCTAAGCAGCAGGATGAGTGGGAGGCAGGGCTTCTGGGTCTGATTCTAGGAGGACTGGAGTGGTGCAAAGAGAAGAGCCAGCTGGAGGTAGCAGGAAGGTCCCAGGGTTTCAGGACCCAGAGGTGGAGAAGCCTGGCCACCCTGCCCACGAGCATAAACTTCCGGGGGCCTTTTAGTGGTAGGGTAGTCCTGATTCACAGAAACTTGCAGAGACATTGCCCGGTGCTGCTGGCTGCCCTGTCCGTAGCTTTCATTGTTAGGCTGCATTTGTTGTAATTAACCATCCAATACTGATGTGTTACTAACTAAAACCTACGCTTTGTTCCGATATAATTGGTTTTCTTATCTAACGTTCAACCTCATCTCTTTCTGCCCCAGGATCCCATCCAGGAAACCACTGGACATGCACATCATGTCTCCTTTGGTCCACTTGGCTGTGACAGCTGCCCCTGTCCCCTTGTCACTGAGCCCTCGACAGTCTGAGCGTGGTCAGGTGTTGGGAAGGAGATTGCCAATGTGAGGGGCCCCTTCCGGCACTTCCTAACAAGGGCATGTGGATGCATGTGCCTCCTCACTGTTGGCGCTGACCTTGACCGGCCGGCAGAGGCCGGGTCTATTGGGTTTCTCTGAGCCACGTTACTCTCCCCGACCAACACTGTCCTCTGGGGAAGGAGGTGGCGCACACAGCCCACCCCCGGGAAGAGTTTGCCCCCCTCCTGGGGGGCAGGTGTCTGCATGAATCCCTCTGTACAGGAGACGTCTCCTCTCTCCACTGATCTGTGAAAACCACTTTCAGGCGGGGATTTTGTTTGGTGCCGCGCTCCCTCCAGGTGACTACCATCGTGCTTGTCCTCTGTGTCAGGTAGCTGAGCAGGGCCTGACTCTTCTGGGGTTGAACTGGGGTCCCTGCAGTCGGGAGTCACCCCGTCAGCAGCTTCTTCCTCCAGGAAGAAGGGTCAGCAGTCCCTGTCGCTCCCGAGGCCGTGGAGGGTCCCTGCCACCACAGTGTGGACATCTACTGTCCTGCACAGTGACTATTTCTTTGTCAGGGCAGTGTCCTCTCTGGCACAGGCCCTCCTGGGGCTGGGACCCTCCCTGGCTCGCCTGCAGTCCCCACACCAGCAGAGGGCCGGGCAGAGCGGGCACCCAGAATGGCCTGGGTGCAGGGCAGGGGCCGACCTTGCTCTGCCGAGACCCCAGGCCAGGCTCCGGGGGTTCAATCCCAAGCCTCCCGGGCCTGCGGGAACAGCACAGAGCGGTGAGCCACAGCCCTGGCCTCAGATGGGTCCCTCCCTCTCACCGCAGCCTCCTGTCTGTAGAATGGGGACTTCCATCCCTCCTTATTTGCTTAGAAAATTCTTAAAAGGACAGATACTGCTCACTTCAAAAATGGGGCTTCTATAAACACGCCACCCACTGACAGAGACCATCACTGTCACGAGTGGAGGAGGTGACCATCACCACAGCACTTGTCCCGCCCCGGCCCCCACCCCCCACCAGCTCTGCACGAGCAGCCACTCACCAGGTCAGCAGAGACGGCGGTGGTGATGAGCGCGTAGGGCCCACTGACCAGGGCCCCGCTGAGGAGCAGCATGGCTGTGGGGACCGGAAACAAGGGGTTTAGGGGACACTGCAGGGAGAGCCTCCACTGTCTCAGCAACCCCCTAGGTGGGCACCCTGTCATCACAAGTGGGTCCTGGCCCCAGTGGGATGCTGGGAAGGTGGCCCCCGTACTCCATGGGGCTCACTACCAGGGCCACTGTCACAGGCATCTTCCTTCAGACTTGCCCCAAGACAGCTCTGCAAGTCCAGTCACAGTCCAGAACTGCACTCCTCCCCCTCAACGGACAGCAGCTGCTGACACGCGGAGGGGGTGAGAACCTGGTGTATAAGCACATGTGTGATCTGGGCCAGCAGATGCTCCCTGTCATCTGTCTCGGCTGCCACCAGACACAGCCTTATCTGCAGTGGAAAGGGCTTCCACCCTGTGACCTCGAGGGGACCACCCAGCGCAGCGACATCCCCGAGGAGGACGGCAGTGCCTAGTTCTGAAACGCAGCTACTTTCCTAGACCGTCTAGTTCACAGTCCCCTGTGCAGCAGCTTCGGGGCCCGGGGCAGCAGGAGACTCCGTGATACACCCCCAGCCCCATCGGCAACCTGCCTTCTGGGGAACTTTCAGCAGGATCTCACCCGGCCGGCCTCCCTTCTGATCCCCACCGCTGGCTTGTCAGGACGGAAACAGTATGTCTCAGCGTCAGGGCCCGAAGTTAAATATAGTCCTTCTGTGTTACGCAACTGCCCCTGAATGGCCGCCGACAAGGGCCAGCTGGGGGGACGGGCTGGGCGCCTGACCCGCTCTACTCTGGCCTGCCCTCACCTGCCGGGGGGTGCAGCCTGCTGCCTCGGGGGTGGCCTCTGGCTTCTGGGAGTGGCTTCCCTCCACTGGGCACCCAAGGCCTGTCACTACCCCAGGCCAGGTGGCCCACACCTTCCCAGGCTCTCAGACTCGCAGGTGGTCAGGCCTTGTGCCTGGGAGCAGGAGGCCTCTCCCAGCGGCCCCACCCAAAGAGGGACACGGGGACCATTTTAGCCACACCGTATGTGCCAGTCACATGGGCTAAATGCTGGTTTGTTAAGTTTTCATTTCAGTTCAAGCTGTCTGGTCAAAACAAGTGTGAAAGGCAAGCGAGGCCTGGGGACTCACCTACGGTGGCTTCCAGGCCCATTTTGCTGATGGTGGAGAAGACGTACAGCTGTGAGCGGGGAAAAGAGGGGGACGGCGATGGTTTGCTATGCGCAGCCGAGAGACTGCCCGGGAACCGCCGGGCAGGTGATGCCCGGGCAGCCACCCAGCGGGGGGACGGTCCTGGGACAGAAGCCACCAGCTTTGTCCCAGACACTCGGGTCCTGAGGGTACTCGCTGAGCTGGAGGACCCTGGGCGCCTCCCTCTCTGAGCTCCTGGGGTTCGGAAGGAATGGTTGGGGCAGTTCTCTCTCAGTGTAACCATCTCCCCCTCAGGCTGTGCCTGAGTGGGGGTGGGGAGACACACAGTCAGTTCTTTAGTAGAAATTCTCAGTGTCTGTGTGGGGTGGTGCCCACCACCCCAAGATGACTGAAAACTAGGCTTACTCTGGGGACAATCACAGCCCAGTACAGTGGCTGATGGGCAAACAATTGCCGCGCAAGTTGATGAGAAATGTCTAAGGGAGGGCCCTGCCCTGCAGCTCTGCAGGCCCGCAGGTTTGGGGAGGGAGGTTCTGAGGTGATGGGCAGTCCCCAGAAACCGAGAAGCACAGAGTAAGCCCGGGCCCGGCCAGAGGGCCTGTGCTGGTGGGGAGGCTGGTGGGGTGCGAGGCCGTTTCAGGAGGCAGAGCTGGTGGGGCAGACTCACCGTCGGGGCGGCCAGCAGCAGCATCAGCCCGCAGGTGGAGGCCCTCTTCTCCAGTCGGTCGGAGACGACTCCCGCCAGGATCCCACCTGCAAAGTGGAGGGGTGGGTCCTGGGGCGCTCGCCTCCCCGGGCAGGGTCCCATGGAGGGAGGAGGAATACAGGTGCAGCAGCAAGAAGACGGTGACGTCCTCTCCCAAGTCCCCTTGCAGCAGGAAGCCGCCTCAGCAATGCCCCACCTCCGGACAGGCCTGTGTGCTCCAGGTCAGATGTGAGTGACCCGGAGGGCACCTCCCAGGGAGACGGCGAGGGTGTCTCGGGGTCTGGTTTTGGTCGGCCCCCGAGCCCCTTCACCTGTTAGGGCGTTGACACCACCAGTCTGTCACCCACTGAGGGCGTCTGACAGAGTCCGGGCCCAGGACATAGGAGGGGACACGTCCACTCAGACGACACACCTTGGGGAACACGTTTCCCTTGGAGGACACATCTCCTCTCAGCAGCAAGACCACTCTGAGAGCCCGGGTCGCGGGTATTCACACACACGTTTCTATGGCAGCGAAGCCCACAGAGAGGGACTCACCAAAGATCCCGCCCACGTCGAACAGGGTGGACAGCTCCCCTGCCTTCTGGGCATCCAGGTGATCTGTTTGAATGACAGGAGTGTCTCTGAGAGGAAGTCCCCATGTCACCCCCTTCTGTTTCATAAGCATGATTTGCAGCAGGGAGCAATTAGTTAACTCAGGGTAAAAGAAAACAAGCAGCCCCCCATGTGGGTGGACACTCAGAAAAGATGACAACTGCTAAACACTCCCGACCCCAGCAATGAGGGACGGTCCTGCCGAGTCCAATTAGTAACCGGCTCTGGTTCCGTGGAGCAAAGTTACCTGCAGCACAGGGTGGAGGTGCGGTCCCAGGCAGGGAGGGGACCTATGGCCCCAGCTCCCTCCAGCCTGGCCCCTGGCCCTCCCACAGGCCCAGGCCCTGCGAACATGTCGGTCCCCTCACTGTCTCCTCGGCCTCCATCCCCAAGAGACTCAGCCCTTCTGTCTCGGGCTTCCGTCTGTCTCTGCTGGTCCCTGGGACGCTGCTGGAAACATGAGGTCTGCCCTCTGCCGACCTGCATCCCATGGGTCACCTGTCCGTCCCACTCACCAGAGTCTGCATCTCAGGGGACACCCAGAAGCTCAGAGCCCTCCTTGACCATCCCTCATTCTTGACCATTCCGCCACCACCCCATCCTGGCCATCCCTGTCCCCCTACAGCAGAGGGTGCCACCCCTGGACTCAAGGATCTCTTCTCTGGAGAACTTCTGGACCCCCCTTGTCTTTCCTGCTGCTATGGAGCTGGCCCGGGCAGTCACAACCTATAGCTTCAGCCCCACTGGGCTTTGGGAATAAGACAAACTGTCTGCTCTTCCCTCAAATTAGAGCTCCTCCCTAGGAACCCATTTCCAGGTCAGGTCACAAAGCATTTATTAGCTCAGCCCCCAGGGCCTCTGCTCCTGTTCACCTGCTGCTCCGACCCGAAGTCCGATGGTGCCCACATTTAAGTGCTGGCTGCCCCAGGGCAGGAAGAGCCGCGCGGAGCTGGCAGCCACAGCTGGGGTGTAACATGTCATCCCTTTAACCCAGTTGAGGTTGTTACTGTGGCAACAAAACATGCCTGGCCCAATTCCCTCTTTGTCTGTACATTTCCACCAATCGCGTGGTTGGATTCACATCATCATGCATCACGCGTGTCTCTTCTTCCCAAGTCTGTAGAACTGCAGGCCAAGGGAGCACCAATCCCGGCCACTGCACAGAACCCAACGCCTGTGCTTCCGGCAGCAGGCACTCACCGACGTTTGTGATGTAGAGAGGGAGCCAGAAGAGGAACGTGTAGCTGACCAGCTTTGCGAAGAGCAGACAAAGGGAGAACTCGACCACACCCTGAAGGAGAGAGTGGCTGCTTAGCCCAGAGGTGTACTCACGGTTCCTTGAAGTGTGCAGCAGAATCGCAGATTCCCTGACTCCCTGAAGGTACCCACGGCTCTGGTCTGGTGTTAGTGCTGCCAGGTGGGCAGGGAGAGGGCACCCGGGGCCGTGCAGAGCAGCCTAGGAGGCAGGATCGCAGGACAACTGCCTGGCAGGCTGGTACAGCACACGGCTCCCCTTTCAGATGGAGTCCCGCATCTTTCCATCAGCTTAGTCGGGAAAAGTACGCACCAATGCGATGCTCACACCGCAGCGCTCTGAAACCCTAGCTGCTGAAGGGGCGTGGGGCGTAGGCCAGAGCCACCTAGTTCCTAGTTCCACGGCAGGTCCCCTTTTAGAAAGAGGTGGCACTTGCGAGACGGCAACCCAGATACGGCCTGGGAAATCTGCGTGAGAAGCTGGATCACACGGGGGTGCAGAAGCGCTCCCGCTCCGCACCCTGTGTGCTCGGGACCCCCACCTCGACGGGGTGCAGACACGACACTCGGTCGGACACTCAGTCCGTGTAAGTGATGCTGCATGGCCCCCAGTGTGAGGATGTGCGTGCGACTCAGTGCACGCTCACCACGCTAGCTCAGTCACCAATAGGCCAGCTTCTTTTCCTAGGGCACACAAATGCCCCTTTCAGAAACCCTCCCCAGGCACAAGTACTCACAGGGATTTTCAAGGCCCCCATGAAGCTGATGGCGGCCATGCTGCTCCCACCTTCGGCCGCGGGGAGGAGGACCACGTGGTTCTGACGGATGGCGCGCTTCCCGTCTGACAGCAGCAAGCACTGTGTCTCCGGGTCCTGGGGAAGAGTCCCATGAAAAGACAAAGGAACAGGAGAGGTCACCAGCCCATCTGGCGGAACCGGGCCAGACCTCCTGACGACTGGGTGCCCCACGGAAAGTCATCCGGACACCTTGGAGAACATCCTCACCAGGGTCGTCACTTCATACTCGTGAGCTTCCCCATGGCTTTAGGAAATGCTAACTAAACACGCAAAACCCTTGACCCAGCCATTCTAGGAACCTGTTTGTGAGAAATAATTTGAACAACGAAAAACTACTTGTACAATAAAATGAGTGTCACACAATTTTGTGGTAAAGTCCACCCGTATTAATAATATATCTTGCAATTGTAAATAAAGTTGTAGATTTTCATGACGTGGGAAAATGTTTATGACACATTAAATATAAAATATCACTCAAAACTGCATTTTCACTATGATCTCAAGGAATATATACATATATAACATATTCAATATATTTATATGGTTGGCTATATACATATGTAACTAGGTAACTATAGAATGTATTCATAGAAAGAAACTAAATTCTAAAGGGGCAATGGTTATCACCAAATGATGAAATCGAATGTAGTTTTTAGGAAAACATCAATAATTTTTTCATGATCCTGTATTTTCCAAGGAACTCACAATGGACACACATTAGCAGAAGTACATTATTTAAAAATTCATAAACCAATTCTGATGTTTTAAAATCCTGATTTCGGACATTCCTAATGGGCACATTTGCATTATTGAAGTAAAAGCACAGTGGTCTGCAACGGGGGGCAGGGCCCAAGTCAGAGCAAGACGATCGAAACCCGTTCCTCAGGACGGAACTAAGAAGCTCAAGGACTTAAAAGGCGTTTCTCTGTATCTGAGACTTTCCACAAAATCAAACAGCCTGCATTGTTCTCATGTCGATACAGCTCATGCCAGTGGGATTCCAAACGCAGTTAATTAAAAGCCGCATCTGTCACTCGATATTTGGAATCCTCCCCCAGAGAAAGACGGAATCTGGAAAACCGGGTGGCAGGGGACGGCACCGGTGGTCCGCACACGCTCAGCGCCGACAGTTCTCCACCCTGGCCCGGCCCAGGGTCTGCGGGGTTCTGAGCAGCCCAGGTGTGCAGGCCGCACCTGCACCAGTGAGGGCGGTCCCCGTCCTCTGTGAGGAAGCCATTCATCCCTGCGGGGGAGTCGTGGTCCCTGCTGCACCAAAGGCGGAATCGCCCTTAGTAGTAAGACACCCACCTGGTGCTCATTCCACGTTTGCTGAATCACAGCCACAGAAAGATCCCCCGAGAAGCCAGGGTGACAAGGTCACATGGCTACAAGGATGACAAATTTCCACCATCCCCAAGATAATCATCATAAAACCCACAAGGACTGGAAGAAGGTCTATCACGTGGCTGAGTGGTGCCAGAGCCCCTTTCTCGTCACCTGTATTTCCCCCTCGCCCACCCCATCTCTTCTGTATGTCCTCAGCAGTTGCCGAGAACCATGCCTGGCACACAGAGAAGGGCTGCCCTCTGAAAGGTGGCCGTGGTCAGGGGCTGAGGAGTACTCGCCTCGGGCCCCGGGGGCCTGAGCTGGGTCACTCAGGGAAAGGGGGCAGCAGGGCATCCTGCTAAGCTGGTGGGGAGCCCTGCCCGCCGGCCCGGCCGCTGCAGTGCGCGAGCTCCCCGGCTGCACGAGTGCAAGGGCCGGAGCCCGGGCAGTGCCCAGAGTTCCCTGGGCAAGGGACACCAACGGACCAGGGCCGACAACTGCCCGGCCGTGTCCGCATGGAGGTGTGGCCGGGACTGAAACAAGACCTGCCGGGGCCTCTAACTGTGTAACTCTGGTCACAGACTCGTAAACAGGCGTTCGCAGAAGGAACAGAAAAGGAAGGAGTGGAGCCCTGGCTGGTGTAGCTCAGTGGATTGAGCGCAGGCCTGCAAACCAGACAATCGCGGTTTGATTCCCAGTCAGGGCACATGCCTGGGTTGCAGGCCAGTTCCCTGCAGGCCAGTTCCCAGCAGGGGACGCATGAAAGGCAACCATACATTGATGTTTCTCTCCCTCTCTCCTTCCCTCCCACTCTAAAGATAAATAAATAAAATATTAAAAAAAAAAAAAGAAAAGAAAAGGAAGGAGTGACACCACACTCAGAAGACGTGCCAGCTTTACTGGTCAGTAACTGCACCAGAACACGGGGCCTGAAACCTTGCACCGAAGGAAAAAGTAAATCTTCAACAACAGTTGGGGAGGGCTAAGCCATTTGGACATCGAATAAGGTCCGATGCTATGTACCAAATACTTGAGTTCCCCCCAAATCCCTATGTTGAGCCCAATCTTTACCTCAGCGGTGTTTGGAGGTGGGCCCTCTGGCTGGGATTTGCGCCCTTCAAGAAGAGACACAGGAGCTTTCTTCTCTCCCCGCCCTCCCTGCCGTCTGCGAGCCAGAGGCGGGCCCTCACCAGGTACCAGATGTGCTGGCACCTTGACCTTAGACTTCCCAGACTCCAGAAATGAAAAGAAGTTCAAAGCCTGTTTACCACATGTATCCTTCAAACTACGTGATTTAAAAAGGAAAGAGCTTAGAATTTCAACACTTATAGCCAAATCTAAAGTGCCCTGTGCCTTGGTGTGGTCGGTGAAGCAGAGGTGACTCGAGGAACTCTCTGGAAGCGTCCTGCGGGGGCAGGGGGTGGAGGCCCAGGCAGGGGTGGGAACCACTGGGCTGCAATGTGGTCCCAGCATCTCTGTGCCTCAGTTTCCTCTGCTGTAAAATGGGGAGTGGAAGGGCGGAGGGCTAGAAGATGACTTTCTGTGTTATCTCTTGGGCCACCTCATATTCCCAGCCTCCTGAGCGCCCTCCTCTCGAGTCCCCCACAGCCCAGGTGTGTGCAGACTCGCCCCGCCCCTCACTGCCTCGCAGCTCTATCCAGGGCCACCTTCTCGGGGACGGCTCCCACCACCAGGCCTGGACTAGTGCCCACCCACTCCTCTCCCAGTGGACTCTGTCTTCCTGGCATTTGGCTGCTGTAGAAAGCGTGTTTTCTGTCTGTACCCCAGCCCAGCCCCCCAGAATGGGAGCTCCATGGGAGCGAGATGTGTCATTGGCACTCCCAGTGGGGACCGCCCTGGTCAGTGCCCGCGGCACACAATGCTGCGAATACTTGCTGAACCAATGAACGACTTTCAGATTTCAATTACGCATTTAAAGTGAGCTCAGCCTACTATACGAAGAAATCTACCAAGGGCGAATTCAGGTTTCCCAGAAGAAACACGAGACCCCGGATGCCTGTGCGGAGGCCCCGAGGCGGCCACCCCGACTTCCTGCTCTGCAGCAGCACGTGCGCGACTCACCAGAAGCTTCTCGTCCGGTGCGGCTGGCTTCTGCAGTCTAAATCTGTGCGTGCCATTCTCATAGCTTTTTGAGTGCTGGAAGAAAAAATGTAATCAGAGCCGTTACCAAGGCAACAGCCAGAAATCATGCCTCACTTCACTGTGACAGGGATGCTCACTATTGTCACAAGAATGCTACCAAGGGCAAAAAGACAAATGAGTGAAATAAAACAGACTAACTTGGTTAATCTCAAGGTTCCAGACCCTCAGATAATAGAAGGTGAAAATAAACTTTTTTCTTGAGGACTAACCCAAGACCCAGGTACACAATTCAGTGGTTTTCAGGGTTGTGTGACCACCACCAAAGCCAACCAAGGGACCCTCTCATCATCCTTCAGAAGGAAACCTGTCGCCATGAGCAGTCAGTCCTCCTCCTGCCCACACCTGCCCTTGACCCCTGGCTTGCTTCCCGACCCCACAGTTTTCCCACTCTGCGCGCTGCATTCACTGGGGCCCTGTGACATGTGGCCTTTGGGACTGGCTTCTTTCCCTCAGCCTCATGCTTTCGAGTCTCACCATGTTGTGGTGCCTGCCCTTGGACTTCAACCACTAACTGCTGAAAAATAACCCGCTGCATGGGTAAGTGGCTTTGTCAACTGGTGGATACTGTTTCCACATTTTGGCCACTAGGATTCACGCTCTGATGAGTACTCGTGTATAAGTTTTTACGGGAGCACGTTCTCATTCCCCTTGGATGTGCACCTAGGAGTGGAACTGGTGGGTGGCAGGCCACCCGAGGCTTGTGAGGAGCTGCGGGCTGGTTTCCGCAGCGGCTGCACCATTTCACATCCTCACCCGCAGTGAGCAGGGGTTTCGGTTCATTATCTGTCTCCGATTCCAGCCGTCATAGTGGATGTGAAGTGGAATCTCATTATGGTTTTGATTATGTTTCCCTGATGGCTAATGATATTGAAGAGATTTTCATATGTTCATTGGCCATTTGTGTATCTTTTTTAGAGAAATACCTATTCAAGTCCTTTGCCCATTTTTTAACTAAATTGCCTTCTTATTTCAGGGTTGTATGAGTTCTCTATACAGTCTAGACACAAGTCCCTTATCAGATACATGATTTAGAAATATTTTCTCCCATCTGTGAGTTGTCTTTATACTTTCTAGCTGTGCTTAGAAGCATAAAAGTTTTACATTCAGATTAAATTCAATTTACTTTTTCTTCTGGCCCTTGTCCTTTTTTTTTTGGTAGCATATCTACAAAAAGAAGGCTTTGTCTCAGCCAAGGTCATTAAAATATACCAGTATCATCTTCTACGAATTTTACAGTTTGAGCTTTCACAGCCAGGTCTTTGACCACCTGAATTTCCATGCCCAGCGTGAAGAGGGGTTAAACAGGCTCTGCACTCCGAGCCCCAGCTGTCCCAGCACCAGTTCCAGAGGTGGCCGCCGCACCTCTAGGCTGTCCCACAGCACGACCGAAAGTGGGTCAACAGAAGCTTTGGATGTTGAAATTCAAGATCATGGCAGAGACATGGCTTTCAAAACATTTTAAAATGTCAGCTGTAGTTAAGGATCATATGGCAATAATTTTCTTGAAGGCAGGGATTTTCATAGCGGATTTTGTTTTCCTATTTTTATCAGGTACCAGAATCCTTCTTTGCAAAGTAACCGCACTCAGAGGCCTGCAGCGGTAACGAAGGGCCCGAGCAGGGACCCCGGCCCCTCCTTTACTCAGTGGTGGGCGCTGCCCCCACAGCCAGGCATTGGCGGAAACAGGATGGGGCCCTGCCTGGGGGCTCTCAATTGTATCGGGGAGACCGGCAGCAGGGGAACTGGATTTTACGCCGAGTGTATTGGGGGGCTGCCAGAGGTTGTAAGCCGGGCAGCGGCATGCTCTGATGTCTGTTTTGGGGAAGGCTTTCCAGGTGGAGTGTGAAGAGCAGGTTTTGGACGGGCAGAAGGGAGCCATTTTAGGGGGCTGACGAGTGGCCCAGAGGAGATGCTAGCAACTTGGACCAGGGCAGTGGAGGTGACGAGAGGGTTTCCATTCCACACACACAGAGACCTGGTGGTGGACAGGCTGAGGGGCAGATGGAAGGCAGAGCCCCAGTTATCCCATAACCCCTCCAGGTTTGGGCTGCCCACGGGGTGGGTGGGGTTCCCTGAGGCCGCAGATGCCACGGGCCTAGCAAGTTTATGGGGTGAAGTAAAGAGATCTACTCTGGTCACGGTCACTCTGAGAAGACAAGCCGGCATCTCCGAGGACATGAGGTAGGCAGTAGAATCCATGACCAGAAAGCTCAGAGGAGGGGCCCACACTGGGGGCTCCAGCCGGGGCTCAATGTTGACCCACAATGTCGGCCCAGAATGTCTTACAGTGAAAGAATGAACGAGGAAAGAAGAGGCCAAGCACCAGGCTGGGGGTGCCCCACATCGGGGGGCTGGCCACTGGGCGTCTGGAAGCCAGGGAAGAGAGTGGTTCAGGGAGGGTGGGAGGAACTGTGTCAAATGCCAGTGACAGGTCGAGTGGGTCAGCCGGAGCACTGACCACATGTGGTCAGTTGCTGCTCCTGGGGCTCTTGGCTCAAGGTTTCAATGGGGTGGCCTGGGGAGGGGAGGGGAGTGGTCCGAGGGGAGTCAGGGAGGGTGCTCTAAGGTAAGCAGGGGGCCTGGTGTGAGGGCAACAGAGGCTTCGCCCAAGGTAGGTGGTGACATCACGGGCTGGGAGTGACACGGGAGAGAGGGAAGCTGACAGCACTGAGGAGGGGGACAGTGGGGGCGAGGCCCCCTGCTGAGAGGGAGAACCGGCCCAGGCAGGCAGGGAAGTGCCCGGAGTGACTGGGGGAGAGCAGAGACCTGCTGTGTGTGGGGGCGGGGCACGTGTCCTTCGTGGCCTGGATGTGCTCAGTAACCCAGAGCGCAGGGCCGGTCACTCCCAGCCAGGCACGAGCAGAGGTCAGAGGGGACAGGTGGCGGCAGGCGCTGCACTGATGAGAGAGAGGTGGTTGGTGTGCTGGGCAGTCCCGACGGCCCACCTGACGTGTGCAGGCAGCAGTTTGAAGTGGCAGCAGCCGGCTCACCCCTTGCATCCTTCTGCGGTCACACGGTGACGTCCACTCAGGGGATAGCCAGATGTCCCCATTGCTCTTGAGGCACGGCCTCTGGTCGCCCTCCATGAGGAGGTCTCTAACCCAGACTGAAACTGCTAATATTTGGGGGGCAGGACCCTTATCCACTCTTTGTTACCCACTGACACTGTGCAGACAGGACCAGACTGGTGACAGTCATCAGACACCTGGCAGACGACACATCGTCCAAGAAGACACACGAGGCAGAGAGCGAGTCCTTACCGCCACCAGGGTGGGAGAGCAGGCTATGTCCTTCGGATCTGAAATACCAAACATGCGACCACGTGTGAACCCAGGGCTGGGTGTCCCCACCAACACAAACATTAAAACCAAAACAAGACCCACCTGATGCATTTACTTAAACAAAAACCAAAACCAAAACCAAAAACAAAACCCCACCAAGCAGTTCAGTTAAAAATGGGCCAGGGACCTGAACGGCCACTTCTCCGAAGGACACAGAGATGCCAACAGACACAGGAAGAGATGCCCCAAGTCACTGGTCAGAGAATGCAAACCGAAACCACAATGAGAGATCACCGCACACCTGTCAGAACGGCCATCGTCAATAAACCAACAACGGCCAGTGCTGGCGAGGACGCGGAAAAAGGGCGTCCTCAGGCACCGCTGGCGGGAATGCAGACTGGTGCGGCCACTGTGGGCAGCGGTATGGAGTTCTCTCAAAAAACCAAAAATGGAACTGCCTCCGGACCCAGCGATCCACTTCTAGGAATATATCTGAAGAAACCCAGAACACTGACTTGAAAGAAAGCATGCACCCCGTGCTCACTGCCGCGTTATTTCCATCGCCAAGACCTGGAAGAGCCCCAGTGCCCACCAGCAGATGAGTGGATAAAAAACTTGTGGTGCATTCACCCAATGGAATGCTCCTTGGTTATAAAAAAAAAGGAAATCTTACTTTGCAGCAGTCAGCGAAAGACAAGTGCCATGTGATTTCACGTGTATGTGGAATCTAGTAAACAAAATAAACTAAAAAAACAAAATAAAAACAGACTCATTTACAGAGACCAGACTGACATAGTCAGAAGGGCAGGGGGTTGCGGGGTGGGTGAAAAGGTGAAGGAATTAAGGAAAAACAACAAAAAAAACAACTCACAGACACAGACAACTATGGTGACCACCAGAGGGAAGGGGGCAGAGAGGAGAGAGGCAGGGGAGATGCCCACAGGAGACCGATGGGGTGGGGGACGCCCAACGCTATACACAGATGCTGTGTTATAGAACTGTATACTGGACACCTATGTAACTTTATTAACCAATGCCCCCCAATATAATCAATAAAAACTAAAATTAAAAAGATTATCGTTTAAATGAAAAAAATTAGTTTTAACTGAACCCACAAGAACCTACCCCAAAGAATCAAGTGGTCCAGAGCCAAATTTAAGACCATCTGCACGGGTGAGCTGGCACGTGGTCACGCTTCCCCATTTACTGCATGACCTTGGGCGGGTCAGCCTGCACCCTGAGCCTCATGCACTTTCCCTGGAGATCCAGGAGTCAGACACCCTGCCTGGGACATGAGAAGTCACTCCCTACCTGCCCCCATCAAATGTCTTTGTGACAGGGAAGAAGAATAGCTTCAGGGAGTGTGCTTACTAATTATTAGGAAGAGTCTGAGAGATGTCTTAATTCCGGTACAAGTAAGAGACAACCTCAGACTTTAATACAAGGTATAGACGCGACTTCAGAGGCAGAGCCGCACCCAGGGGGAGACACAGAGAGGGAGGCCTGAAAAGGGGGAGCCTCAGCGGGAAGCGGGAAGGCTGAGAATGGCCAAGTCCTGCAGGTGTCCCTGGGCCAAGAACCAGGCACTGGGACCGGCCTTGGCAGAGGGGGCATAGGCAGAGCAGTGTGACAAGGCCAGGTACTGGGTGAGATGCACTGGGAGGACCAGGGCTGTGGCGGGAGACTGGAGCTCAGCGAGCACCCTGCTCCCCAAAGCGCACAAGATGCGAGGCCGGGAGGTCAGGAGAGGGGTGCACAGCGAAGGAGGGGCAGTGAGAAGGAGTTTTTGGTGGCACCATGAAGAACAGGCACAGGATCTCATTAGGGATCTGGTAGAGCTCTGAGTGTATTACTAATAAGGTAGGAGCCTATGACTGTAGGTAAGAAAACCCACCCAGCAGAGGGTGAGAGAGCAGAGACAGGACGGGGCAGGGCAAGCTCTGCGGCTAGGCCTTCGGCCCCATGGCACCGCCAGTCCCAGCCTGCGGTGCCTCAGAACTCCCCGCCAGGGCCAGGGTGCCGCCAAGGACAACCCAAGACACAGGAGGCACAAGCCCAGGTCCGGATGTGGCCCCTTGTCCCTCCATGTCAGTAAGACTTCCTGGGACAACCATCCAGGCATGGTCTACTGCTTAAAGCCTGGTGGGCCCAGGGAAGCTGAGAGATGGCATTTTTGTCCCAAGCAGAGCACGGAGGAACATAACAGAGCTCCAAGGTCACCACAGTGCATGGAGAGGGAAGCCAGCAGGGGGACCCCTGGAACAGGAGGTGACCGAAAGTGAAGTGACGGGAGGCGGCTCCGGGAGAGCCCTCCCTTCACACGCTTCACACTCAGCATCTGCTCCGCTCCCCAACCCTTCACCCCGCAGTAGCGTGGCAGCGGTGGCGGCTCGGTGGGAAAGAGGCTCTCGTTTTATCACAAAAGACCAAACCAAAACTTCCTTATTCTTGAAAATCCCGCCCTGAGTAGGGACAAGACCCAGCCAGGATGACCAAGCCGAGTGGAGACTGGCACTGAGACCCCAAGCCAGGCCAGCACGCAAGCTCACGTCCCCTGCCACACACTCCACCCCCAGGACCAGTCTCTCGGAAGTTGAGAAGAGAGTAGGAGCCCCTGTGGGCTCTGGACCTCGGGCAGAGCACGTGTGTGGCACCCAGGAGCCCTGCGCTAGAGAAGAGGAAGTGTGACTCCAGGTGACTAATGTGTAAGGAACCCTCTGGACAGCCCAGGTGACAAGAGCGCCAGGTGCTGTGGAGCCAGCCTAGAGGAAAACAGGTGACGAGAATGACCCTTCCCAGAACTCCGGTGACAAGGTACTGCTGAAAGCTTGTGGGATGGGAACACCCTGACATATAGCAGCTGTGGCAGCACCAGCTTGTCCAGCGTTAGTGTGACTAAGAATCCTTGGCCTGCTGGAGCTCTATTTTACAAATTAAATTCAATTAAAACAAGTTTGGTAGAGTCCAGAATGGACACTCCTCCCCTAATCAAGACACGTGGTTATAAGTTGAGCCATGTTTCACAACACTGTCCAAGACGTATGTTATCAGAAAGTGAACAAGCTGGAAGGGCGCATTTTGGCGGGTGGCAGCAAGACTGCAGTGAGCAGCTGCAGCTGCCTGGCCCAGGCAGGCCTGAGGGAGCCGTGAGACTCCCAGACTTGGGGAGAACCACGCATGCCCAATCTGTGGGGGGAGGCCAGGGTGGAAGGCATTTCAGTATCGGCTACTCCAGAAATCAGGAACCGGCAGGAAATACAGCATGACCGGGGGAGAAACAGCTAATGGGCACGTCTATACCTGAAGGAGCGTGGCCACCTGGTGAGGCGAGAGCCAGGAAAACCACACACCTCCATAGGCCTAAGCAGAAGCAGAACAACTTGCCCCCACAGCCCTGCAGGGGGGAGTCCCCTCCCGGGCCCCGGGTACTCACGTTCGATAAGGAAGAGAAAGCACACGACCCCCATGGCTGCCACGATGGCCCCGGGCACGATGAAGGACAGGCCCCAGCATGTGGACACCCAGTAGCCAGCAATCAAGGACCCCAGGATGTTGCCCACGGAGGTGTGGGAATTCCAGACCCCCATAATCAAGCCTCGCCTGCAACAGAACAAGACACAGGCAGCAAGTGGCGTCAGGAAGCTTCCGTGGGTCTGTGGTGTAGGGCCCGGCAGGGCGTGCACCGTGTCAGCGCTGGCCTGGGGACACAGGGGCCGCACAGGCACTTCTGCCAGACGCAGGCCTGGAGATACTTGTGAGAGAATGGGGCTTCCCTTCACCTTGGAGGTACGTGCGTATCATTACATGTCTCTTTCAGAGCTTCTTTATTTATGATTACAAAGAGGAGGGAGGCCATTTCCTGAAATTCTTGGAAGGCCCCAAATTTAAATTTGTGCTTCTGCAGACTCAATCCAATTATTGGCTGAAATATCCCATTAACACAAGTTTCTGCGGCAGACCCGTCAGGTGGGCGGAGTATCTAAATGAGGCTCCCTGCACTGGTTTCCTGCTTCAGTTTCCCCATCGGCAGTATCTCCCAGCAGTTCTCCGCCCTGGCTCTGACCCTGACCCTGGCTCTGACCCTGACCCTGGCCTGAAGCCGTGTATCACACATGTTACGGCAGCGCCTGGACTGCAGTCAGACCACCAGAGGCCGAGTGCCCCTCTGCTGCCAGGAGCTGGGCAGCATGTCAGGACCTGGCACGTGTCCACGTGCCTTTGCGTCCTGTTTTTGATGCAGCTTCTTTGTCGAAGGCCCAGGGCAGGGCCCTGCCCTCTGCGCTCCTCCCAGGTCCTGGGAGGCCAGGGAAGGCCGAGCTGCTGGTCAGCGGTGCAGGGGACACAGACTCGACCCTGCCCACGGCAGGGTGGGCGTCTCCTGGGACAAAGGCCATCTGAATTTCAGAACCTCGAGTCCCAGAGGTCTTCGTTATCTTAGTTCACAGAATAAAGTGGTTTTTTTTTTCTACAATAAATCTAAAGAAAAACTAAAAATAAAGTCTAAAAACATCTTTTAAAAAATAACGCTGCTGAAAGCAGGGTGGCCTTTCCTCACCTTCCTTTTCAAAACCACTGTCTTCCCACCACGGCGGTGTCAGCCGTGGTGGGAAGACAGTGGGACACTCAGCCCTTTTGTCTGAGTTTCAGGTGTGCAGCTCGGTGGCCAGACAAGCAGGGACTTTACACACAGAGTCTCACCTTCCCTTCCCAAACCAGTTGCTGAGGCAGGTGACGACGCTGGGCCAGCCGGTGGTCTGCACCAGTCCGTTGATGATCTGTGACACGGGACAAAAAGAGGGCTCACCTCGGGGAAAACACATCCCCTGTCTTCCAGGGGGGCCCACAGAAGCTTCCCCTTCTCCGTCCTTCGGAAGTTTGGGAGCACAGCGGGGACCCGCCCACAGAGGAGGAGGCCCTACCCGCTATGAGCCCCAAAGGCTGAAGCTGTGTTCTGAACCATCGCGTAACTACAAACGTAATATGTGCCCACTGTGAAAATTTTAGAATAAATAAGGAAAAGAAAGAAAAGGAAATCCCCTGCCAGAAGATGGATGGCTTGGGGCCAGAGTTTCCAATCTCTGTCTAATCTGAACTTCATACAAAGAGAAAAGAGTTGTCTTCTTTTTATAGAACTGTGATTGTACCATGAATTATAGCTTGTAAACAGCACTCTTTCACGTCTCAGGTCGTGAAGAAGGTACTATTGTTAATGGCTCTCTGAACTGAGCTTAACCTTGACCTTTACAAAGCCTGCAGAAAGCACTTCCTCCTTTCCAAGAGGACCCTGAGCTCATATTTCAAGGAGGGATTTAGCAAGTGCACTGGCAAACTGGTTCGCTTGAGTCTCAGGAGCATCAGAGGCAAATTTTTAAGACAACTAGGTCCAGTCTAGTGCCTCCCACAACCATGACCGGGCCGGACGGGCTCTCCAGGAGACTGACTGGTGGCCGCGGGCTGCACCGGCCTCAGGGCCAGCCGGGGCTGCCTTTCCGTTCAGAAATGTGGGGGGATGCTGGGGAATTGTTTTTTTTCTTCCTTCTAATTTTATGTATTACTATAAAGTATAAGTTACTTTTATAATTAAAACAGTCAAACTTTTTCAAGGCCCATGGCAAACTTTTTTAAAGAAAACTGTGGCCCTGCTGGGTGGCCCAGTTGGTTGGAGCATTGTACCGTGCACCAAAAGGCTGTGAGTTTGATGCCAGTCAGGGCACACACCCAGGCTGCAGGTTCTATCCCTGGTTGGGGCGCATACACGCAGGAGACAACTGATTCATGCTGCTCTCACACATCAACGTTTCTCTCTCTCTCTTCTGCCCTCCCTCTCTAAGGTCAATAAACTTATCCTCAGGTGAGAATTTTTAACAAACGCAAAGTGTGTGCAATTTACTTTGATGATTTTATAATACCTCCCCACTAGGCTATCGGCAGAGCCTCGGCAGTTAAGCTGATCATTTTGCCATTTTCCATTTCTAGTAAATATCTGTCCACAGGGATGTTGGGAGGGGCAGTAGCCAAGAGTTTCAGGAAGGGCTGGGCCCAGCCGGAAGGGCAAAGCTGCAGGGCCAGTCTTGGCCTTGGAGCCGGTAAGGCTCTCCCCTCCCTCCGACTCCCTCTGATCCTGTCCCACGGCCAGTGACACCCAAGTCCTCCCTTCCTCTTGCCCTCGCTACGCCCCACATCACTCTGACTCCTGAGTGGTCCAATCTGTCACCACATGGGACACCTAGACCTCCTCCAGGTGAAGGCGGAGGGGCTGGCTCTGCAGTCCCCTGAGGGGTAGGGACAAACTGGGTCTTATGAGGCAGCTCCTGAAACTTCAGGGAAACTGCATGGCGGCCGGAACTTCAGAGAAGATGGGAGAGAGACTTTACCTGTCAGCACTGACCCTGACGTCAGACTGACGCGAGTCTACTGTGCACGCCCTCCTACCCCGACTCCATCTCCTCCCTCATCTCTCCTGGCAGAGGCAGGGACCTGAGACATAAATGCCTCGTCCAGCTCATCATGGAAACCCCTCATGCGGTGGGCCACGGGCCTGGACCATACCTGAGTTACCACGTAGAAGCTGAAACTGTGGATGTTGTAGAAATAGCCCAACCCAAACAGGGCAGTAAAGGTGCCACTTGCCAGCATTCCGAAAGTCAGGTAATACCTAATCGGCAGGCGCTCCCCTATTATGCCACTGCGGATAAGGAAAGAGACAAATATGAGCAAACAAACACACCGTAATGTAAACGACATGCACTTTCTTTCCGGATATTTTCAGGCTGTTCTCTGAGCTTCTAGAACTCCAAACACTACAGTTTCCAAGAACATTTAATCATAACTATTTCCCAATGAGCATTTATTAACCAGAAACTGTCAGTTGGCAACATCTTTTAAGACTTTTTATTTCCGGCAAAAGTCACTAACAGTCAAATAATGAACCTCATACACTTTGATGGCTGCCAATTAAAAAAACTCGTCCTGCCAGTTAATCCTGCTTTTATATAAACGACACCAAGTTACAATTTCAACTGTCAACCTGTAGACAAATGTCATAAAAAGGGATCACCTGTGACCATGAGCCAGTCTCTTGGCCTCTAAACTGTCATTAAGTTACTCACCCACATTAACTGCATTAACTGGGCCCAAATTTGAGCTCTGCTTAGAAATTTTAGCCTCCGCTGGTGTGGCTCAGTGGATTGGGCACTGGCCTATGAACCAAAGGGTCGCTGGTTTGATTCCCAGTCAGGGCACCTGCCTGGGTTGTAGGCCAGGCCCTCAGTAGGGGGTGCAAGAGAGGGAACCACACACCGATGTTTCTCTCTTTCTCCCTCCCTTCCCCTCTCTCTAAAAATAAGTAAATAAAAAAGGCACACGGTGCAGCCCGGCTGCCTCCCAGGCCGAGGAAGCCTGAGGCCTCCATGGCACTTGCCGTCAGTCGGGCCCATGTTCTGCAGGGCACCGCACGCTTCGGGCTTCTGGACGTGCCACTGCCCCCTTTGCAAATACCAACACAGTGAAGGAAGCTATCCACTCCAGAGAGACGGCCTGGCCCAACCACCCGCAGGGCACGGGGCTGGGGCGGGGCCCAGGCCTCAGGGAGATTCTCAAATCTGTCAAGATCTAAGTCTCTGAACAGAAGCCTCTCGAGTTAAAGGGCTCTGTCCCTATTATGCCGTTTCTTCCCCAGCCTGGCTGGACTGACATAACACCAGTGTTTAACCTGCCAAACGCATGTCCTGTTACTCACTCTACACTTACACCTTCAGGTCAAGGTCAGTTCAATAGGATCAAGAACCCAGGATAATAATAATCACATGTGACAGACACTGGGCACACACCACTTCCGGCACTGTGCTGAGTGTCCTGTGTGTGTCAAATCCCCCCCACAGTCCTGCGAGGTGAGAACTACCTTCCCCGCATTTTGCAGAGCCACAGAGAACTGCCCTCGGCCACAGGAGCAGGCAGCTCAGGTCACAGCAGAGTGTCTCTGCGCGCGCCCCAGCCACCATACTGCGTGGCCTCGTGCTCAGCTGAGGGGCTCTGTGTGGGCTGTCCAGGTGGACACACCCGGCGCACACTTGTAAACTGTGGAATTGGTGACTTGGGACCGTAAACAGATGGCGGCCCCTGAGACCATGGCCGAGGATGTGCTCCGCTGAGCATCGCCAAGAGCCACCAGTGCCCTGTGCCCAGGGGACCACACCCCGGCAGGGCTCACATGCGTCTGAGACCCGAGGGCCAGGAAAGCCACCTGTGAACAGTCCGCCTGAGCAGCGCAGTGCCCGGGTCTTCTAAACCACCCTGTGGTCATGTCCTCACAGACACAGCAGAGCACACTGGCTCTTGCTTTTTCCTTGTCCCTGAGAAGAGCCTGGACAGTAAGTGACCTGCGGGTGGGGCTCGTGTCACGCGTCCTGTGCACCTCGGCGCACCAGAGACGGTTCTGCACTGAGCGGAGTAACCGGCCAGGGCCTCGCACAGCGGAGCAGACCTACCTCAGGTACATGCCGACGGCGTAGGCGCACAGAAAGGAGTAGTCCAGGGCCCCGAGCAGCTGCTGGTAGTTGTCCTGATCTGCACGGGTGGAGGCGGAGAGCGGAGTGGCGCTTCATCCCCACCAAACACTGTATGTGTGTTGGAGTGGGCAGGGCGGGAAGATACAGGCATCTGCCCTCTGGGTGTGGGTGCTGGACGCTGGGCTCCGAGGAGGGACACAGAGGATGCGGCAGCACACCTGCCGCTGGCTTCTCGGCAAAGGAAAATGCGGCCACCACATTCCGAACAACCACTAAGTACACGTTACTGGTGGGAATGGACCCACGTGGCTCACAGTGGGCATCAGCTTCTTCATTTCCTTCACCGCCCCGCCGAGGCCAGCCCCACACGGGTCTCTCCTTTCCACCCACGGTTCCTGCTCTGCGCGCCCTGACTTTCGGCTCTGACACACGCCACCTGTAAGCTGTTTTCAGCAGACCTCCTCACGGGGAGGGTCTTCGTTCAGGTGGTGGAACCCTGGCACACACAGGCCCCATGACACAGCAGCAGTGGCAGAGTGGGACCCAGGATGGGACAGAGTTGCTCCCTGAGACACGATCCCACTCAGGAACACCAACATGGCAGCCCAATTGGCAAGGCCAGGAGAGCTGGGCCGCGCCTGAAGCCTCCTGGCCCTCCCATGTGCAGAGCCCTGCAGGGACGCCCGGCTTCAGAGGTGTGCAGACAGGGGACTCACCGAACGGGGCCCAGCCGCAGTCGGTCTCGTTGTCTGGGAGCTGGTGAGTGGCGACACCGCTGGCTATTTGGCTCTGGCCGTCGGGTCTGACTCTGCCCTTATTCACAGGAGCACAGTACCTGTGGAGCTCACCCTAGGACATCCACAGGGAGGCCAGAGGCCAGAGAGAGGAAGCGCAGCAGGTGAGTTCAGCAGGAGGCAGAGTACCAGCAGCGCCCCTCTTTCCGGCCTTGGGGAAGGAGTCACGGCCGGGGCAGGCTGCCTGCAGGACCCACAGCAGCTGGTGGGCCGGTTTCGCGGGCTCCAGCAGCCCCGCTCCTGAGCACACGCAGCAAACCCAAGCACGTCCAGGGCCACCAGAGACGACCGCTCAGGGCAGCTGTGCCGCTGAAAGCTGGCCGCCTGTGGCCCTCGGACCGCCTGCCCAGAGCGGGCGGCAGACTCATCCGGTCGGTTTCTACAGCTGCGTGCTGCCCCGTACAAGGGAACCAGCGCCCGCTCCCCACAACGACAAGGACGCCTCAAGGACAATAAGCCCGACACAAAGGAACTCAAACGGTGGACTCCATTTCCACGTATGAGGTTCAAGAACAGGCTCTGTGGGGCCCTTGGTGAGAGTCGGGGTTGCCTGGCGTGGGTATGACGGGGGACAGGTCACAAGCAGCCTTCAGGGGGTGAAAAGGGCCCAGACCTCTCAGCCAGGCGATCATTTCCTGGGTAAGTGTAAGTATCTGTCCTGGCATGGTACATGGGACGTGGCCGCGTGGCGGTCACGTGGCTGTGTCACCGTTACTGGCACACTGCCCTCAAAATCTAGCCGAGGGTCCTGCTTCACAAACTCAAAGTCGCTATTTGCCAAGCAGCTTTCCCCGGCAGAGCTCGTCCTCTGTAGGGGCTGGGGGCTCCCCTTGGTGAGTGAGCCCTGTCTCTTGCCCTGGCCTGTGCTCAGCTTACTTACACTCCGCCAGGGTGACTGAGTGGGGCTGTGGACATGACCTTGAGCTCCGGTCAGAGACGTGGTGGGGCGCACAGTCCTTCCCTGTCTAAGGCTGGCATTTTCAGCATTTCCCCGATTCACTAGATTTTATACTTTTTCCTTCTCTTCGCCTTCAGGCGTCAGGTGCTTCTGCCCAGCTGGACAGACCTGAGGCCTCACGGATGCTGCTCTGGTCAGTTTTCAGTAACAAAGCTACAGGTCGGACAGGAGGGAACTGGGGCCAGGGCTGGGGTGGGTTCTGACACAACCCTTCCACGGAAGCAAGGGACAAGGAAGGTGGCAGACCGTGACTGTAAGTAGAATTTTAACATTCTCTGTTGTCATTTAAGGGAGGAGCCACCCATGGGAAATAGAAAAGGTTACACACGCTCCATGTCCATTTCCTAAACAAGCAGAACAGCATTTCCGTATAGTTTTGTGCTGTGACAAAAGGCAGCCTCGCGTCCTTCCTGGCAGGGACTCAGGCTCTAGGCTGGGAGCCCGGTGCCCCTGGGCCGGCTTCGGACTTCCACTGAGTCACGGGAACTCTCTACCGCCAGGTACTCAGCCAGTGTAACCCAGTATAACCCCGCCCTGGGTCCGTGTCCCTGCTGACGACTAGAAGTGAGGGGGGGGGGGAGATGATGCGCTGTATGGGAGCTACCTTCAGCAACAGACAATTCCTTATTCCTCCCACAGTCAAGAGTGCAAAGCCGTTCAGGCCTGCTGACAACCTAGGCTAAGTGATGTAATTCCAAGGAGGGTCAGAAAATCTTGTTGCTCCCCCCAGTCATAACCGGCTACTGTGTAGGACCGTCTGCTCGAATCTTTCCTCAGTCTCGTTAAGCGGGAGCCTGTCTGACAGCCTCTCCCACCCGTCACTCGAACAGAGACTCAGAGTTCCGAGAATAACGAGGACCCACTGCCACAGCCCAACTCCGATCTGCACGTGACGGGCGTGGAAGCCATTTGGGACAACTTAAGACTGGATGTTTTGGAGAGAAAATTCACACAAGACAGGAATATGTATGTATTTCATTAAGCTTTAGAATTCTGTAACTGTCAGGGAATATAATTGAAAGTATACTACCTCTGAAAGCATCTCCACTCAGCTTGCCCCCGCTCCCCCCAGCGCCCCCGCCCCCATCAGTCGCCTTGTAAAGTAACAAGTTCATTATCGAGATTACAGTCAGGATAGGAAACGGAGTGTTTTATGATTTCTTACCTTAACTATGCTGATAGGCTTTCGAGATAAGTGGAAACTCGCATAGAGCAAAAATGTCAAGATAAAAATGAAGGCTCTGTACCTGAAACACAAAACCGGGGCAGAAAACGAAAGCCAGGAATGAGCTGCAGGAAGAATCCACGGTGACTGTCATTCTTAAGTTTTCTTACACTGTGTATTATTCGTCCAGTCCTACATCAATTATTCACCCTATTTATAATATCACTGTACTATTATATGAACAAAGTGGGACTTCTGTCCAAATTGAAACTATTTAAACATTCATTAAAAGAACTACAATTGAAGAGAAACCTGGGACTCAGAAGATGAACACATGCTCACAAAGCAGACAAGACAGGATTATTTAGTGTGAAGCAAAATTAACTGCAAGCTTCTTGTAAGGCTGCCATTCTGGGCATTTAAGATCATAGTTTTCCCTTTTTAGTTTCCATGCAACTTTTCAGAAGCACATGAGCGAGGCAAGAACGTAAATATCTCACTGACCTCAATGAGAAAAACCCAGTGATGCTCACAAGCTATGAATAAGGCCGGCGGTATAAAAATGCTGGCTTAAAGCCCAGCTGTTCTTTTTGGCTTATGAGAAAAGCAGTAAGGGGGAGGTGCTGAAATATATGGAAGTCTAAAGGAAAGAAGCTTCTTTAGTAAGAAAACGGAAGTTTATTCCAGTCTAAAAATTTGAACCACACTATGGAAAAATATTTCCTAAGGCAAAAAAAAAAGTCAGGAGAAAAAGAGTTTGATAGGAGGTGAAGACAAGGGGCTTCCACCAGGGGGCAGGTTCTTCAATGTCCTGAGACCCTGCCTCTCACCCTGAGTCACCTGGCCCATATCTGGCCCGAAAAGGCCAATGACTTTCAAGTCGAGCGATGGCTGGCACTGATAGTTACCCACGAACAGAGACAGGTGGGGACACTGGGGGGACAGGGAAACCCTTCCTTCAGTCTCCTGTCCACGTTGTGCTTTACTCCTCAAGGGCAGCCAGCGCTCAGTGAATAACACACAGAACTCTAGGGGAGCCTACCTCTTTGGCTTCTTTACAGAAATAAATATTTCTAGATTAAAAAAAAATAAAGATCCTATTTCAGGTGGGAGATAAAGGACTGATGAGACGATCAGACACCTGCACCTTAGGGAAAGGAAAACACCAAACCCACTTGCCAGGCACCAAGAAGTACTGGATAAATGAGTAAAGAAACGACCCCGTATGCTCCTCCTCATCACAAAAGCACTGATGGCTTTCCTGGCAGTCTTTGCTTTCTGAGCCCATGCCAGTGACCAGGTGGGAAAGAAGTAAATCTATAAATAAGTGTGTATTTTATCCCAAGGAGCAGAGACCATGCAGGTGCAGAGGTTTAGTTATAAAGTCCAGGCCTCTGTCCTGTGGTTCTGAAAACCGTCTGTTGGGGTGGAGAATGGAAGTCTCTCAATTATTTGCTGAAAGCTCTGTTACCCCACGCACTGCTACTGGTGCCTTAAATTGCCAGCATAGGAAGAGTCTATAGACTATTGGAACTCTGTGAGCTTCAATACCCAAATTTCCAACACACAGGTGGATTCGCTGGCCAACTGGTGCCTCACCGAATGTAAATTACTGGGGCGAGTACAGTCTGTGGGGAGCCCTGAGCTGTCCCCATTTGGGCACAGGGGTCCCTTTCCCAATCTCCACGAGGAGTTACCTTCCCACCTCAGAGTACGGAGGGCGATCTGCAGCCCCCGAGGAAGCGGTGCACTACCAGTCGCCACTATATGACCCCTGGGAGAATCCGAATGTCCTCTCGCCCAGCTGAGAAGGGTTTTGAGAAAGTAGCTTCACTTTAAATGAACCTCGGGTTGATGCTCTCTACCAAGATAGATGTTCATGCTTTCTACCAAGACGGAAACAGAACATTCTAGTTATAAATACTTCATTTTTCAAGTATGTTACCATATTTACAAAATGGAATACATGACCCGGAAATAAAGAGCCCCTCCATCTGTCCAGACATCTGAAAAGCCCCGGGCCCTCACATACCAGCACTCTCAGGGAGACTCGCTGTCTAGGTTCTGGGAACCTGGTCACCACTCCTGGGCCCCCGCCCCTTCTCTGACTGCTGGTTCTGCAGGACCGCTCACCGGCCCTGGGCCGGGGGACAACGGGGTTCCAGGGCTGTGCTGCAGGGCGGCAGGGGGTGCCGTGTGTAGCACGTGCCCAGGGACACTCCGCGCACACGTGGGCGGCAGAGGGGAGCAGCACACGCTGAACTGAATCTGCAGCTCATTCTCTGTGGAAGTGAAATCCCTCGAGGCGGCGGCCCGCAGGTTGCTAGGTTCCCAAAGAGAACCTTTTCGCTTCTGCGGGGTCATCCTGGGTTAAGGGACTAGAGTCCTAAACAACTCTCCTAAGTCCTTTGCCCGTATTGTAATTCTTTCTTCATTTTCTTTCTGCCTTTGTCATGTACGATACCAGGATTTTAAATGATGTTTGTTTCCTTTTACCTTGTACTGGATTGGATGCCATCCCCCTAAAGTCACATCCCCCTAAAATTCTCAGAATGTGGGCATAGTGTTGCAGATGTAATGAGTCAAGTTGAGGTCATATTTAACTCATGTGTGACCACGAATCCAATGAGATATAAATCCAGTGACTGATGTCCTTATAAAAGCCATGTGAAGACACAGACAGGCGGGGAGGAAGGCCAGGAGTCAACAGAGGCCCAGCCAGACAAGGAGCCGCAGGGACTGCCAGCTACCACCCGAGGCTGGAGAAGGCAGGAAGCATTCTTCCCCGGAGCCTTCGGTGGGGGCGCAGCCCTGCTGACGCCTGGATCTCAAACTCCTGGCCTCCAGAACAGTGAGAACAAATGTGCTGTTTTAAGCCACCCAGAGTGTGGCGCTTTATTACAGCAGCCCTCGGAAACTAACACAATCCTGTACCTTTTGTGTTTGGTATTACATTCAGGCTTGTGGATATTAAGAAAACGCAATTAAAAATGAACTACCTAATGCTTTCCTTCATTAGTGCTTCACCGACTTTTTGAAGTCACGTCGGACTCTGGCATTCTTCGCATCCACCAATATTACAGCAAGAGCATTTGAGCCAACCTCAAGTTTCCAGCCAAGAAAGCCTATCTTGGCAATGACAGTCGCTGTGCACCTTCAAAGCTTCCTTAGAAATGTTCCCAGAGGCAAATTAAAAGACTCCATGCAGAATACGTGTCCTTTTGGGAAGGTTATTTATCTCAGTCACATGCAAATAAGGAATGAACAAGTGCTGTGGACGAGAGGTGCTGAGCAGTGTGACTTGGCCCAGAAATACCCCTCCTTTAGAAACAAGGAAAGCACCCACGGCAGCCGGGCCGGAGTCCTGTTCAGAGTTCCTGAGGGGAGGCATGGGGCCCGGGTGGCCTCAGCACTGGTCACGTGGTTAAGGGGCTGCGGGCCAGGTGCCCCTCGGGGAAGCTACAACTTTCCCCTCTAAACAGCAAATGAGGAAGTTGTGGGAACACACTTGCAGATGAAGAACCGGTCGCTCCAACTTTCCCACAGCAGTGTGCGTCCCTCCCTCGGTGACCCTCACCGAAATAGCACTGCTGACGGTGACAGGAAGGCTATCGAGGTTGAGGGACGCTCCTGCTCTCCTAAGGAGCTGGTGTTTTGCTGTGCGGAAGAGCTTTACTTTCTCCTACTTGTGCACTGAATTATAGTTGTGTGGACTCACTGGATTCAGAATGTACCCAGTGAGCTAAAATCTGTTACTAGTGTTGTTTATTTTAGATCTCAAATCATCCCAGATGTGACGGTGAGAGTCCCTTCATTTTTAAGCATCTCCTTATTTTCTGGCACAAGATATTCCCGGATCCTCTCACCTCCCCTGCCCCAGGGCTGACCTAGTCCCCGAAGACGCCAGCTCCTTGCGTGGGGACGGCACACAGAAACCAAGATCTGGCACCAGGCGTGCTCACTGCTGCAGGTGCTGCTGTCCCCAGGGTCTCTCAGTGGGCAGGGACAGGGCAGGGGTGTGGTATTTTACACACACAGGTAACACCTACTACACACATACCACGTACACACAGCCACTTCTCCCCTGATTTCTCACCAGTTTTTTTTGCTTTCTTTAATTCCAATCCAATACAATGTGATTCATTCAGCCCCTCCCCTCCCCATATTTTTAATTCCCTCGCCATCAGTGAGAAGCTGGCTCCCTTCTGTGTATTCCCGTCAAAAATGCGTAATCTGACCCTAAGCATGAGGAAATACTAGACACATCCAAAACCAAATACAGTCCATAAAAAAATGGCTTGTTCCCATCAAAAATGTCAAGGTCATAAAAGACGAAGAAAGGCCAAGAAACAGTTTCGGATGAAAGGAGGTTAAGCCCACAGGGCGGCGTGACCCTGGACTGGACCCTGGGCCGTAAAAGGCATTAGGGGACGCCCAATATAATTCTGATGTGGACTTCAGACTAGATGGTAGCATTGTATCAGTGTTAAATTTCCTGATTTGGGTCCTTGTATGCAGTTAGGTGAGAATTCTTGTTTAGAGGAAATGCACACTGAAGAATTTAGAATCAAAGGACATGGCACCTGTAACTTACTCTCAGACAGTTTGTTAAGAAACATGTGCATGTGTGTGCACGCACACGGAGAAGAAATGAGGCGTGATGTTAAGGACTCGTCTGCCGGCCCGGCCCAGGCCCCACGGCTGGATGACACGCACGCTAACAGCCTCTCTGCCCTTGGTTCACCCACTCAAGAGTCAAAGCCCCACGAGGAGCCCTGCAGCCCCTCCTGCCTCCCACCCTGCCTCCCGCTGGACCTGCGTTGTTCCAGGAGGCTCCTGGGAGCAGAACCTCGAGGGCCTCCGCCAGCTGCCGCGGTGAGACGGGAGTCCCGAGACTCGCCTGCCTACCCAGCCGCACTCAGAGGGGGGAGTCAGTTCCCAACGGGAACGCGAAATGCTGCCAGGAACAGGCAGGTGTGCTGCGTGGAACCACAAAAAATGTCCTTCCAAGGAATGTTAACGCCAGTCTCTTTAGGGTTGCTAAAGCTCAGCTAAAAATAAGTTTTAAAGGTCAAAGAGCAAGTTGGAGGCACGGAGGGAATGGAATGAAGACAAACTCTGTGTCTTTCCTACGCCAAATGCGGTCAGCAGGTTGAGGGCACCACCACCTGGGAAACGCAGGCTCTCAGGCCACCGGAGACCCGCTGAGTCAGAACGTGCACTCGAACGAGTTCTCAGGGCAAGTCGCACGCTCGCTCAAGTTCGAGATGCACTGCTCTGTCTCTGTAGCTCTCAACCTCAAAAAAATAAGAGTCTGTGATACACAGGAATTTTACAGCAGCTCTTTGTAACATTCTCATAATTCTGTGAGTTTGAAAACTGCATCAAAATAAAGTTGTAAAACAAAGAAGCTAAAGATGAACGCTCTGGAAATAAAAGGTAAGTGTTTAAACACCTGTGGCTAGATTTGCAGCGGACTTGAAATGAGTCAACAAGGGAACAGCTCTGGAAAGAACGAGACCCAGTGGGTGCTCCACCATCTAGAGGGGCCTGAGAAGATGCCGAGGGTGTGGCGGCCACCAGTGGGTGGTTGTGACGGAGACGAAGGGGTTCCAGAATGGGCCGCTATGGTGTAAAAATTATTTTGAGCAGAAAGCATTTGCGTTCCTAGAATCTCTTCTCCGTCTGAAAGCAGAGCCTCCCTCAAGAACTCGGCTGCTCTGAGTGGCTCCCTGGGAGCACCAGGGAGGCGGACTCGGTACTGAAGACCAGAAGTGTCCACACCGCACCCTAATAGCCACCGTCAGGACAGTGACACAGCGCTCATGTGTCGTCCTAAGGCCCATTTGCCTTTCCAAACCTGTTTTCCCATCAGTGCTTTCTCCTCCTCTTCCCCCCATCAAGAATTTGGCATAACAGCCGCTGTGAGTCATGTTTTTCTGTAAACTCCTGCATAAACGTGATTCAATTCTCTTCTTTTGTCAGTTTAATTTGCATGCCCCCAATTATTGAACCTAAGAGAGCACAGGAAAATTTTACCCTTCCCGACTGAGATCAGCAGGGAAGACGCCACTGAGGGTACACGCCAGAGGCCAGAGAGCCCGGCTCCAGTCTGACTCTGCCCTTGCTCCTGGCTTCCTCCAAGGAGGACGGGGTTCATGACCCCCCGCCACCTTCCCCAGAGAAGGGCTCTCACAGAGCAGGCAAGAGAGGTGCTCTCGGAGCAGAAAGCTGTGTTCTGGTCGGCATCTAACTTACTTGGATGTTCCCTTCTCTCTGAAGTTCTGCCCCAGCTGGGCCGCACGCTGAGCTCAGAGTTCATGTACTGCTTTCACTCACCGGCATGTGAGAGTCCTGCCGGCAGCCAGCGGTCTGTGGGGGCCGCTGTGATTACAGAAAACACTGGAGACCTGGAAGGAGTCTACATGCTACCTGACATCTCCAGAGCCAGAGACGGAGAACAACTCGGCCATGCTCCTCAGAACTTCCACCACTGAGAAGTGATTCCGTGGTTACGGGGAGGCCACCATCCGTGTGCGTTTTGTCACGAACCCGAGGGGGGGGGGCAGCCAGAGGCACAGTGGTCCTCACCCACCCTCGGCCCAGGACTCACCACTGATCCCGGGAGAATGAGATGATGAAGCGAATGCCGGCAGGGAGTCGAGCCATTTACACACGGACCACGGAGCTCTGGTCACGAAATCAGACGCTTCATAAAGAGGTTGGTAGCCCTGCCTCCGAGTTTCCCACTTGCCCCAGCACTCACGTAGGCTGGAACGTAAGTAGAGGTGTCCTGTTGGGTCTCTCGTCCCCTCTTCCCTCCTGCAGAGGCTTAGCTCTCTACGATGAGAAAGAGGAGTTGAAAGTCAGGTATTCTGGCAGTGGTACCTTGGAATCCCCAGCAGAACATACTCCCTGTTCGGTTGTTACCCAGCCCAGCCCCAGGCTGGCCTTCCAGGACTTCGGGCATGCCCACCACTGGGCCACTAGGTGGCAGCAGTGTCTGCCCTGGGGCGGGGGTGGGAGGTGCTTGTTCGGAGATCACTGAAAGGAATTTCATGTGATGTTCTGATGATAGGAAAGGAACCACTGAGTTCATCTTCACCTGGAAGGCATCTAGAGATCAACCCGCTCACCCTTAACCACAATGCCCTGCGGAATATTAACGTTAAGTGAGACTGGTCTGTGCCCAGCGGTCACACCACGTGCTCCATCAGCAGAGCACACCAGGGGACCAGACGTCTTCCATTCCACCCACTCCGACCGGCCCAGGGCTGAGCCACAGTAACAGAGAGGAACGCAGGCCTGGGTGAGATGGCAGGCCATCAAACCCACCATTCAGCTGTGGCTTCGCAACGGGACCTAAACGCACCTAATGCTGTGGGAATGGACTTCACCTCGTAGCTGCCTCCCCACTTCCCATCTCCTGTGGCCCCTCAGAGGCCAGGGAAATGACCCCATTCTGGAGTCAGAGCTGAAGGCAGAGCAAGACCAGGAGCGGGCGGGGGACCCGAGAACCGAAAAGGGGCCCCGGCACACCTCCTGTCCCAAAGCCAGCCTCATGACTTGTCTTGTTTTTCAGTTTTTCTCCTACACTTGGCAGCAAGGAATCTTTTGACCAATGCGTTAAATAACACAACTTCCGGGATACACAGAGCATGGATTGTTCCGTCTCATCCTTACTGAAAATTCGCTGGTCACGTAATTGTTTTAAAAGAAAGTTACTTTTGAGTCAATGTTAATCTTGATTTAAAGAAGCTGACGTTATTAATGTCCTCACACAGCTTCCTTAGGATAGGGACAAGTAGTGACAAACAGCTCAGATTTGGAGGATTTACACTGATTGGTAAGTGCCTGTCTTCCCAATTAGAACCATTCCCCAGGCTCATTCCAGCCCTCCCTCCAGAGTGAGCTTTCAAAAAATGCTCTCTCTTCAATGATTTTCCTTTATACCAAATCAAAAAACTTCAAAATCCTTGCCAAGCTTTCAACCCCCACCCCAGCGCCTCCCCTCGGGCAGGAGGCAGTGCAGAGGGCCCCTCTGCTCCAGCCAGAGCCACCCCTTTGATCCCACCAGCCAGGCCCCTGGGCCCCACCAGGGCCTTGACGGTTACATGGCCTCAGCTGTTACTCTACCTGGAGGGTCACCAGCCCCTACAGCTGACCTTGGCTCTCTTTCCTGCTAAAAAGTGGAATGGCGGCACTTACACTGTAGGGTTATTATAAAGAGGATGACACTATCCACAGAAAGCCCTTCGCACCAGCTCGGTGGGTAGCAGGTGCTCAGTAAACATGCACCCAGGAAAGGCCTGGGTGAGGCCTTGTGAGCTGGTGCAGAACCCAGCACAGAGTGAGTGCTCAAGAGATGCGTTGAATAAATCTCTACAACTCTTCAAATCTCTAAAATAGCCTTAAAGTATGTTTTACTAAAATGCTCAAAACGAGTGGGCTTCTCTTAGGGTGTAAATAGACTTCAGGAAATGATCCCGGGATGGGGACTGCGGAGGAAAGGGTCTGGTTTAGGTGTTACAGGGTCTGACCGAGGACGGCCAGAGTCCAGCGTCTTCCTGAGTCCCCACACTGCCTCTGGAGGCACAGCTTATCTGGACATACTCTACTGCCATCTACTAAATCAACCGACTGGTCAATAAATCAATCAACCTCAACTCAGTTCTGGTAAAAGCTATAGCACCAACAACAATCCAGGAGGCCCTGGAAAAGCGACGGGAAGAAAGTCCCCAGTGCCTTTGAGATAGGCTCGTCCTGCCCCTGCACGACCCTCCCCCCAGGAAATGGGGGGGAGTTAGTGTTATAACCTCTCCAGGTGAGTGCATCTAGGACATGCGAAGATGGTGGGTTTCCATGTGGGATGCTGAGAGCTCAGCACCATGAGGCCCATTCCTCCAAAGCCTGGGCAGCGCCCACCAAACAGCATTCCACTAACTGGAGTCCCTCCATCTGAGGTCTCCTTGTGGGAGCCACGGCTACTCTGAGAGAGAGGCTGCGCTCACTTCACAGCAGAACAATGAGGCCGGTGGCTGGACCTCAGTCCATGGGGCCAAAGCAGGTCAGGCCAGTTTCCCTCCGTCCCCTCCTCCCTCCCACCTCACTCCTTCCCGCCCTGCCCCTTCAAAGGCAGGGCAGCAGAACTGGATCCAATCTCTTGCTTTAATCCTCTTTTCGGCACACAGCCCAGGTATGTAAGAAGACTTTTTTTAATGGCTCTCACTAGCCGGCACTGGACCTCACCACCCAAACAGGAGACGTGTCAGAAGATCCGGTTTCCTTCCACTGTCAAAGACGGCAACCCGGGAAACAGCCCATCAGCGTGTCTTTATGGAAGTCTGTGTAACACACGCCTCTGAACTCTTCTGCCTGAAGGCCCAACCCAGCCAACCGTTACGAATGACTAGAGAAAAATATGCGTTCCCAGAGCCTTACCCTCAGACTCACCCTGGTGGTCTGAGATACCTAGACCAGCCCTGTGCTCTTCAGAGGTGAAAATAACGAGACTCAGCCTTGAGTAATGGTCACCTCGGCCGAGTAGCTCCACTGGTTAGAGCGTCATCCCCATTCCCAAGGTTTCGGGTTTGATCCCTGGTCAGGGCACATACAAGACGCAACCAATGAATGGGAAAATAAGTGGAACAACAAATGATGTTTTCTCTCTCCCCACCCCCCAGTCAGTAAAAGTTAAAAAAATAAATAAGTCATAGTCAGAGTAATATTGAAGGGATCTTTCCAGAATAATCAAAGCAACCTCATGAGTATTTTAAATAATATACTTAAACAAAAATTCTCTAAAGTGGCTCTTATTTTAAGGCAAAAGTGGGTGGGAAATGTAAACCCCCCAAAACATTCTCTGAGAAACAACTCCCTTTCCAGGAAAAAACAAAGCAAAACACTTTCCACGGTTCCTGCTTTACACACTCTAATCGGCATGAAAGATGAATGACAAGGGTCACCCTGTGGCTTACACACAAAAGCCACTCCTCTCTCCTCGGACCAGCAGGGGACGGAAGTTGATCTGCACCCAACACCTGCCAGCACAGTCCCCGCCAGTGCGGTGAGACATCGCCCTGGAGCGGCAGGATTTCAAGCTCCATCAGGAGAGTTTAACCAGGGAGCAAGGGGAGAGATCCCAGCTAGTTACCCACTCAAACCACCTCACACTACTTAAGTTCGAGGGCAGACGACCCTTCCAGATAGTGACCTCCGGCAGACCAAAGGAAAGACAGGCTTAAGAAACCACGTTTAGAAATTCAAACCTGGGGGTGGGGTGACCGGCTCTCCAGTGTCTTCCGTTCAAATGCAAATCCTGACGGTTGGAGGAGAGCTCCAGCCACCAGCTCAAGAAGAGACCGCCTGGAGAGCAGGAGGACGGGAGAAAGAGGAAAAAGGTGCCCGATGGCGGTGGCCGACGGCTGCGGGACTTTCTGGTGCCTTAAGTCCTACAAATACAGAAGGTCGCCGTCACTCCAGTTGGCAATGAAGCTCACGGGCTCGGAAACCAGCTGCCCAACAGACAAACAACCCAAAGGCCCAGGGTGCTGACGCGCGCCGGCTCCTCCCGGTTGGCTGGTCCCCAGAGCAGGTGGACCCGGCGGGCACGCCCACATCCCCACGGCGCGGCGGACAATGAGCGGGTCTCCTCCGGCCCCATCCCTAGACACCCAGCTGTCATCACGGCGGCCCGAGCGGCTGGGGAGGAGAACGGGCAGGACAGCTCATCTCATTCCTGCCCAGGGCTCCAGCTGGCGGCTGCCGGCCCAGCGCCGGCTCCCCCACCTCCACTCGCCAGGAACGCCTGCGCCGCCACTGCCGGACGCCGGAAGGGGCGCCCGGCCGCTCCTCTAGACCCCTTATCCCGAAGACTTCCCTATGGCCGGGGGAGCTCGAGATTGCCCAGCCCAGGCCAGAGACAAGCACAAAGACAGGCTGAGGGGGAGCAGGGCTCAGGGATCCGGTCCCCATGGGCATCCCCCGCCGACCCCGCCTGTCGGCCCTGGTGGCAGGTGCGGCATGGCCGCGGCGCCCTATTCCCGCAGCCCCGCAGGTGTGGGCGGTGAGAAAGGGTCCCCGCCGATCGCCGACCCTGCGCCTCACCTGCGCTGCCCGGGCCCACTCACCGCAGCCCTGCCGGGCCTCCATGGGCGTTTCCTGCTCGCGACTTCCTGGGGCGGTGCGTGCAGAGGCCCCGCGGCCCTTTCACTTTCCTGCCGTGGGGGGCCAGGCCAGGCGGTGGCTGTAGGCTGGGCCCCTCCCCTTCCCGATAATCTCCTCCCTGAACCTTCCCCCCACCCCCCATCGGAGCCAGCCCAGGATCCCAAAAAGCCCTGGGGGCGCCCCCGTGTGGGCTGGTATTTGCCATCCACCACCCCCAGCTCTCAACTCGCCATCGCCTGCCCGAGATTCTTAGCGCGCTCCTGTGTCTTTGCACCTGCTCTCCAGCCAGCGCAGGGACATATACTGGCTTGTTCTCCACTGGCCAAACCGGGAGCTGCTCCCCAAGGGCTGGTGTCGTCAAGGTAGGACTCACCCAACAGCTGCAAAGCAACACATTGCCCAGCAGGACCTGAGCTAAAGAGTCCCTGCCTGCTCTTGACTCCTACTACCTGGCTTTGACCTCCTTCTCAGGGGTCAGAATCATGACGCCAGCGTTCCATTAGGTGACAGTAGGCCCTGAGCAGAGGCTGCGTTGAACCATCTTCTGTCACAGGCAGCTCCCAGGGCTGTGCTGGAGAACACCAGCCTGGCCCCATTCACTTGAACCTGACACTGCCCCCCCCCCCCGCTGGTGCCTTTGCATCCCCAAACCATCCTCCTCCGAGTCCCACTCTTCTTGTCAAAAATTGACCTTGGGCAGCCCCGGGAAGGGTGGGACTGCAGCCAGGCATTGAAGTGTCTGCAGCCTGCACTTGGTGCACACCGCGTCCAAACCCCGGGGGCCCAGCCCCAGGACTAGAGAAGGGAGGCAGAGACACACTGAAAATGAAGCTCCTGACAGAAGACTGCCCCTGGTTGAAACAATTCTTAATGGCTACAACCAATCCAAGGCCGGCTGTAAATGCCCCGAAAGGTCTATATGGACAGTGCCCGGGGCATCTGGTGGGCACACTGCCCTGCCCTGCCCAGCTCAGAGGCCCCTCATACAGGCCTGGGAAGACCTCTCACTCTTTACCAATCCCATTTCTAGAACACTCTAACACTGTTTTCTGTACACCGAGTTGGGTCATGTCAAATGCACCCCTTCTTTACACTTCTGAGAAGGGTTCACGCAGAAAGGATACCTGCTGGCCTCACGATACCAAGGCCTAAGGTACAGCAACAGGAAGCCTCACGGCTGCCCCGCTCCCGACCCCCATCCTGCAAGGGAGCTGGCCCAGGGTCTCTGGGCTTCTCTCCACCTTTAGCGAGGTCTCTTTCCGCGGACCTCTTCTCTCTCAGCCAACTCCTTCTCCTCACGCCCCATTCCTGGCCATCTCCGAGCCAGCCCAGTCTGGCTCCCAACGCTTCCCCAGCTGAGTCTCTGGCTCAGGGTGCCGTCTGCCCAGGGCTCTTCCTCTCTCCCAGAACTTGGGCGTCAGCCTCCCCGCTTCAAGCTGCCCCCCAGGCAACCCACTTTTCCAGCTGCCTCCAACTGCTGTCCCAAGGCAGGGCAGATCCTGTCATTCCTGACGGATACCCTTCAAGATCCCCACTGCCTGAAGGAATGAGACCAAATTCTTCAGCAGCTGGAAAACAAGGCCTCTCCTAGTGAGTGCAAACTCTGAGGCCCAGGCCAGCTGTCTGTCCTCTCCAGCAACCTTCACTGGGTTTCCGGGGCACGGGAGACACCTCTGTATCCTGACTTGTCATGTGAGTGGGGACTAGCTGTTTCTAAACCTGTCTCAGGGGTTGGAGGGATTCTTGGGACATGTCCCGACTCAGAGGGCAGGACCCATGTTTGCAAACTGTGTGGCACAACACAGGGCATCCTGGTGCGGTTCCGTATTCTCACATAGATAGCGGTGACACGTGTGCGGCATGCTGGGGAAACCAGAGGGCACCCGGCGTGGCCCGGGTCATCTTCGCTAGCTGGAAATATTAGTCTTTTAACTTTATAAAGACTAAGGTGTTGGCCGTTTATCAAATATCAGTCTTTTACATGATTATGAGACACTTAAAGATGTATTAGAGGAGAAAGTAAATTTGTGTAAACTTCTACATAAAACAGTTCACATTCTGGAATGAAAACTTGTAATTGTTCTGATGAGCATCCAGGTTTTGTGCGTGAAACGGCCACACACACTCAGGATGCAGGTGGGACGCCACCACCAAGACACCTCCACGCAAGGAGAGAGCTTGAAGCCGTTCTTCACAATCACGCGCATTTTTCTGGTAAGAATCAAGTGGATTTCCAACTCGGTTGGACTTTTCCTATTCAATATTTCAAAATCAGGACAGAGCGTGCCAGGCTGGCGGTGTGCCCTCGCGCGGCCGCGGACACAGCCAGGGCCCAGGCCCCAGGGACGTGAGCCCAGGTGCCCAGACTCAGGGCTGTCCGGATCACACACTGCCTGGGCGGGACCCTGCTTCCACCCGAAACTTCTACTCGGGCTTTGAGTTTGTTTTGACTTCACCTCAGTGAGAGGAACAGATGAAGTGAGAGGCACGGTCCCTCCGACAGGTGTCTCCGCGATGCCCGCAGAGGCCAGCCCTGCGCCAGCACCCAGACCTCAAAGTCAGCAAGGGGTCTTTGTCTTTGCCTCTGGAGAGTTCATAGAACAAAAGGCGGGTGGTCCATTCAGAGGGAAGTTGCTGTGACAGTGAGGAGGGGGCTTCTATTCATCTCCCAGGGCCGCCCTGACAACGTCCTCAGCCTGGGTGACTTAAGACAATGGAAAGGTGTGGTCACAGAGTTCTGGAGGCCAGAAGTCCAAGACCGGGTGGGTGCTGGCAGGGCCGGCTCCCACCGCAGGCTCCGGCCTCAGTGTCTCCCGGGCCTTTCCCTCAGCTCCTGGCGCAGCCGGCAGCCCTCGGTGTCTCAGCTTGTAGCTGCAGCGCTCTGGTCCACTTCTGCCAGCCAGTGGTGTCTTCCTGTGTGTCTGTGTTCACACTGTCTTCTCTCTGTGTGTCTGTGTGTCTGTCTCTCCGCTCCTAAGGACACCAGTGATACTGGGTTTAAGGTGCCCCCTCCTCCAGGAGGACTTCAACTTTACTAATTACATCTGCAACTATTCTGTTTCCAAAGAAGGCCCCATTCTGAGGTCCCCGGAAGGAAATGAATTTCGTAGGGGACACTATTTAACCCAGTACTGAGCTGTTACATCAGGTTAAACAGGGTGTGGGGAAATTAATGGGGAAAATGTACCCCCCCCCCCCAGCAACATCAGGAAGTCGTTAGCTTCCTAAAGCCCCAAGGACTGGAGAGCTGAGGCAGCAGCAGAACTGCCGGGGGTGGGGGGGTGTCTTTGGTAGGGAAGGCAGCTGGCTGTCAAATTACAGCGCAGCAGGGAAGGGGAGAAGGAATGGAGGGGGGGGGCAGAGTAAACAGCCTGACTTTCCTTTCCTCCTGCCCTGGCACCAACCAACCCCAGAGGGAGGTGGAGACCTACAGCCCCACTGGTGCCCCTCCCTCAAGCGAAGATGGCAGACAGGTGACTAGCAATCCCAACACTGCCTTACGTATTATAATAGAGGGCACTCCACTGGGTGCAAGAGAGGGTCCCCTCACCCAGACTAAAAGGTCACAGGAGGTGACATCTGAGGAGCATAGGAGGACTTGGCAAGGAGCACAAGGCAAGCTGCCAGCTGGTCTGGGGAGTGCTGACGTGCCAGGTGTGTGACGTGGAGCAGGGAGGGCTGGGAGCTCCTGCAGCGATCCAGACCCCAGACGCTGCTGGTGAGTGCACATTCCAGAAAGGTCTAGAAGGGGAGGGAAAGGCCTCAGGCAAGGGAGAGAGAGGAGCCAGGGTTGATCCACAGGTGTCCTGCTTGGACAGCTAAGTGGGTAATGGAGTCTTCAGGAAGAGAGGAAACATACAAAGGACAAACGGACTGGGGAGGGGCTGGGCTAGGAATCAATTCGCACTTGCTGAGTGTTTGGCAATGACAGCAGGGGACTAGACTGAGTTCCCTGATATTTCCGGGTCAGGCAGGGAGGAGGGGCTGGAAGCCAAGGTGGACCCGTGGGAAAAGCCAGGACAGTGTGACGTCCAAGAAGCCCAACGAAGGCGGTGTTTCCAGAAGGGGAGAGAGTGGGACGTAGAGCTGGGCACTGGGAAGAAGTCAGGGTCTGCTGGCTTCACCCAGAAGATGAGGGCTGATGCTTCTGCAGGGTGGGCTGGGCTGGGGCGGGGTGGGTGAGCAGCAGACTGCTGTGGGGATTGAGCGGGGAGTGAGAAAGAAGAGGCAGCATGGAGGGGACAACGGTGTCAGGAGGGAGGAGAGAGGAGACCAACGCTGCAGAGGGCCTGGGGGAGGAGGAAGGGCATTTTAGCGTATGGACACTTGCAAACAGACGGAAGTCGAGAGAACGGTACAGTGCAGCCCTGTGTGCCTGTTACCCAGCCACGCTGGCTATCACTCCGTGGCCAGTTTTGTTTCCTTTCTGTTTTGACCCATTCTCTTCCCCCTACCCCCAGGGTTATTTTGCAGTAAATTCCAGACATGATAATATTTCACCTGTAAAGTTTCAGTATGTTATCTCTAACTGTACGGTTTTAAATGTAACCACGAGACCATCATCCTGGTTCCCCGGCAACAAGAACGGCTGTGTAACAGCATCCAACGTCCAGCCCATGTTCTCACTTCCCTGTCCCAGTCAACCTTCTGGCTCTGTTTGGTCTTACAGTGGGGCTCCAAACAGGCCACACGTGTGCTGTGTCTCCAAGGTCTCTCGCCCGCCCCAGCAACGGGAGGCCAAGCCGTTTACTGTGCAGTTGCCCATGCTCTGCATTGTGCCACTCTGACTTCATGACATGGTCTAACATGTTCTTTCTCCCTGTTTTCCCTGAACATGGCAATGAAGTTGCGAGGCCTGATCAGATTTGGCAAGCACACAGCATCTGGTGAGCTTTGCTTCTGAAGTCTTAGATGTTCCTTGTCTGAGCTGATTAATTCATGAGAAGTCAGAAATCACAGAAGTGGTAAAACTATGCTGAACTATTTTCACTCTTTCTCTGTTAGCATAATTCTGTAACGAGGAACTCCTCCTCCTCA